AGCTCACAAAACCATTGACGAAGTGCCTTAAAAAAGGTGCACAAATCGTACATGATTCTGAATTCACCGAATGTTTTGAAACTTGCAAAAATCTACTAATAAATGAACCAATCTTGCAATACCCAGATTTTTCCAAGAAATTTAACTTAACCACCGATGCCAGTAATGTCGCGCTAGGCGCAGTTCTTTCTCAAGAACATTCAGGAGTCGATAAGCCAGTGGCGTACGCCTCACGTACCCTGAACGACTCTGAACGAAATTACAGTACGATAGAAAAAGAACTGTTAGCTATCGTATGGGCGACCAAATACTTCAGGCCGTACCTGTACGGAAGACATTTTAATATCATCACTGATCACAAACCACTCCAGTGGCTTTTTTCTCTAAAGGATCCTAATTCGAAACTATTAAGATGGCGCATTAAACTAGATGAATTTGATTATAGTATTACTTATAAGAAAGGCAAACTGAACTCTAACGCAGACGCTCTATCTAGGATTGAAATTCATACAAAAGAAACCGAGAATGTTGGTAATATAATCGAGAACCTAATCAGTACGCAAGCACAAAATCTTCCAGATCCAGGCTTGAATGAAATTTTCGGCGAACCCTCTAATAATAACCTAAATCCTAACCCTGAAATCGATAATATATCCATGCAAGTTCAACCAGATGAAGAAATAAGCGAAAATATATTAGAAGAAAACCATGACGATGACGTCACTGTTCATACAAACTTCGAACAAAAGCCTATAGTTGATATTCCTATTTCCGAATCCCCTGTCAACCATGGTCAAAATCAAATAATATTCTTTTCTGTATTACATTCACCAGCCAAGGTAAAACGTACCATTTTGTTCGAGAAAAAACAAAGGATTGAAGTTCAAATTTCAGAAAATCAATTCGAACAGGATGTCGTTAATTTCATGAAAAATTATGTTGTGCCAAAAGTTCAGTACCACCTGTATTTTAACGAACCAAATATGTATGAAAAATTCTCGGAAGTTGTCAGACGAAATTTTATATGGCCTTCACTAAAGTTAAAACGCTGTAATAATAAATTAATAGATGTCACCAATAAGGACGATGTTTTAGAAATAATTAAAAACTACCACGAGAGTAAAACGAACCATCGTGGCATAGACGAAACGGAAAATCGAATAAAAACTAAATATTACTGGCCAGATCTTAAAAAATCAATTCAAACATACATTAATGATTGCGAGATTTGCCAAGAAAGCAAATACGAGAGGAAACCAATCAAAATGCAAATGAATATTACTCCAACAGCTTCTGAACCGTTCGAAATAATCCACTTAGATACCTTTACTTTAGAGAAAACCAAATTTTTAACAATCATAGACACTTTTTCAAAATACACCCAAGCCTATAAATTACAAACTTTGAGTTCAACTGAAATAACCAATAACCTAATTACCTTCTTTTCACACCACGGTGTACCAAAACAAATAACTGTAGACAATGGGACAGAATTTAAAAATACCGTAATAACCGAGCTCTTGGCCCTCCATAAAATAAAACTTCATTTTTGCTCACCAAATCACCCCCAGTCTAACGGTGTTATAGAGAGACTACATTCCACGCTAATTGAACATATAAGGTTGTTGAATACACAAGGATTTGATAAATCTCCAATAAGTTTGAAAATGACATACGCAATTTTGGCTTATAATCACTCGATACATTCGGCTACTAAATTCAAACCCATAGACGTCGTAAACGGTCATATCAGTAATGAAAACCCTTTTGATATAAATATCGACCGCATCTTAGTTAATGACTACGTCAATAATCATAAAGAAAAAACAAAAATCATGTATTCACTAATCAATCAAAGCCTCAGAGATAATAAAGAAAAAATAATCTCAAAATTAAACGAAACCCGTGATAACCCAAATTTATTCGAACAAGCTGATAAAACATATTTGAAAAAGTTCATCAGACAGAAAGACGCAAATAAATTTCATAAACCTACCCAAATTCAGAAAGTAGATATCAACCGTAAAACAGTCGCGACCACGTCCCAAGCTAAAGCCCATATGGATAATTTGAAACGTCCCTTAAGAAATACATATAGTTTTGATTAAGTAGTTGTTAATAATATTTCAGATTCCCACTCGTGATGGGATACCAGGAAACGATCCAAATAAAAAACTTGGAAACCAACCCTGGACTTTTACCTGTTAAGTTAGGAACAGCCAAAGTGCAAGAGTACATGCATACATTCATACATTTTTTCGACTTGAACCCCATAGTAGACGAAATAGAAAAACTCGATAAACAATATGGAAAATTGCTGGAGAGTCTCAGTGTCAATAAAAATTATTCAAACGATGCTTCAGAGCATTTGAGAATTCTAACTCTTACGAAAGAAAGAGCCGAGATTAGATTACAAGAAATAATTCCACAGCCAAAACGCAACAAGAGAGGTTTAATAAACGGCCTTGGATCATTTTTCAAAGCAGTTTCTGGGAATTTAGACGCTAGCGACGGCGAACGTTATGAACAGATGATAAAAGATATTCAAGGAAATCAAAACAGATTAGCAAGCAACATTGTCAAACAAAACACTATTTCTACCGATATTATACACAAATTCAACGACACAATTCGAAAAATCACCCACAACGAAAAGGAATTAGAATCTAAAATTTATCAAATTGCCCTATACATAGGACTTAGTCAAAACCTGAGTCACAGTTTGGTAGTCAAAGACCTCTTGAACCATATGATAAATGTATACGAAGTAATCAACTCCCTTTTGCAAGATATTGAGAATTCAATGACTTTTTCCAAATTAAACACTATGCACCCCAGCATTATAAGAATCTCAGATCTCTACAACGAGCTTTCAAAACTCAAAAACTCGATCAATAAAGATCAATTTCCGTTCGAAATTACTCCAGACAATATTTTGTTGATAGAAAAAATAATAGATATCGAATGCTACATAAAAAATAACAAAATTACATACCTTTTACATTTACCTATAACATATTCAGAAAAATTCAATTATTATCAATTATATTCAATACCTGTACCGAGTCTGAATGAGTTCAAGACCATTTTACCAAACGATAGATTTCTCTTGAAGAGTGACCTGTACTTCGCATTTTTTGGTGATCTTTGTACCAAAATCGTCCCTAACTACTTCATATGCAAGAAAATCGACTTGTCAGAAGTCGAACCAGATGGCCCATGCGAAATCCAACTTCTCGATAAGAAACACCCTTCAAACTGTCAACAAGTCCCGGTCAGAATTTCAAAGCCTATCATTAGACAACTGGAATCCAAACAATGGATAGCCGTATTTCCACATGAAGAGATGGTCAGTCTGAAGTGCCGAAAACAAGAAGAATTCCTACGATTACTTGGTGCATACCTCGTAGAAATTCCTGTTGGATGTCAAGTTATAACCAACACCGAACAAATCGCCAATGAAGAGGAATCAATGAGTCAACGTCAATTGATTCTCTTTCCACAACTGAATCAAAGCCTCGAGAGGAAACAAAATTGGACCATCCACCTAGAAGAAACAAATTTGGACGATCTTCACCTTATAACGAAGAAAATCATCGAAAACCAGCCAGACCTACAGAATACCAACATTTCTCATCTTCCCTCTATTTGGACCATCATCCTGTATATCCTCGTAGCATCTGGTATTACATATTTCATCATCAGAAATCTGAATATCATCCGACGAATCAAGAACTCTAACGACCAAAACCAAGGAATAAATTTGGCAGAGGTTCAACTTCCTCGCTCCACTGCATAAGTTGAAACTTCGAGGGGAGGAATTATATCACCGGTTCCCATAAGCTTCCTAAGAACTGAAGATTCTGCACCGACGTTCCCAGGGACCTCTTAGATTTCGCTGACTCTTCAAAATCATCGTGTTGCATTTGTTCATTCCAACATTCAGTCAGACTTATAACTTTGTACGATAAACATCTCATAAAATTCGCTCTGCTTTTGTACTTTGACAAATAAATTGTTTTTTAAAAAGAGACTTTGCTAGTTCAAAAATAAAATTCATGGCGTCTCCAGGTCAAAAGTCAGGTTAATGTGTGTGCAAGTCTATAATTTTAATTTTTATAATTACCTGATCTGGATTGAAATCCAATATTTATTGTGAAGTTTAATAAGTGTTTGTGAAAATTATCAAGCCCTTTTATCTCTACGCCGGTATAGAGGCCGGATGGTGACGGATTCACCGGATAAGGGGGCCATTCTTGAAATCAAACGTGCTCAGCATGAGCACATACGATAGAATCTTTGACATTGATGAACTCGGCTTCCGGGCATGGTGACGGACTACGGTGTCTTTAGTGCTCCAGTCGAGAGATAATATTATTACATAACCATATATATTCTTGAAAAAATTAATTACCTGATCTGGAGAAATTGTTACCAAAAGGTGACAGAAATCCAATAAACCCAAAAGAAGAAGAAGAAGAAGACCAATACCGATGAGTCGTCGAGGCCGCTTGTAATTAGGCATTCCTTAGGCGTCCTTCTCAATTACGGGGTGATTTGAACATCTTTGCTAACAATATACTTGATAATAATTGCGAAATATCATTTAATCATTTACATCATAAGTCAAATGAGGTTGTCCTCTTTTTGACAGTTGTAGGAAAAATATTGTATGTAACATGTGCATAAATTGTTTTTTTACTCATAGGAATTGCCGCACTACGCCTTCGGCGTCTATTTACTACTCATGAAAGAAGTACCATTTCACACACTCATTAACATAAATAACTATTTTTTCTTTTCTATACAGATATTTTATAAAAATAGTTTTTGGAACAGAATCCCCACCATTCATCAAATAGTTGATCCAACTGAAAAATACACAAGTTTAGTCACAGATACTAGAAAAATTGATCAAGTGCGGTGTTCCTACCATGAACCAAACTCAATGAACGGACTATAACATGATAATTGGCTTCACGTATTTCACGAAATTCCAGGTTAGAGAAAGCCTCGGGCGAAAGCACGCTGATAGACCGCTCCGGCAGAGGTCTCAAAATGGAGCCGCTCGCCTCCGTAGCCCAACTCGAAAGATACCTCCTGAAAATGGTGGCCAAGCAATGGTACGACTACGAACGCACCACCTTCCAGTTCCTCAAAAAGCTGCGCGACCCCAAACACCAAACCTTCAAGCACGCGCACGACTTCGACGAGAACGGCTTAATCTACTTCATCGGCACCAACGGCAAGACCAGCACCGAGTGGGTCAATCCCGGGCAGTACGGCCTCGTCGCCGTCTCCAGCTCCGATGCGCGCAACCTGCCCTATGGCAGAGTCGAGGACATCCTGTCGCGTGACTCGTCCGCCCTCAATTGCCACACCAATGACGACAAGCGCGCCTGGTTCGGCATCGATTTGGGCGTGAATGTGATCCCGAGCGCGTATACGCTGAGGCATGCGCGCGGCTACGGGCGGTCCGCCCTGCGCAACTGGCATCTGCAGATGTCGCGGGACGGGCAGACGTGGACGACGCTGAGCACGCACACGCACGACACGTCGCTGAACGATCCGGGCAGTACGGCCACGTGGCCGATCGAGGTGCCCGCGGACGAGTGCCAGGGCTGGCGGCACGTCAGGATCCAGCAGGTAACAACAACGCATCAAAAATGGTCACGTGGAACTCAATAATTGTTGAAGACCTGATGTTGAAGAACATGAAATTTTAACAGTGGACATAATACAAATTACAACGTATACCGGGTCTTCAACAATGATTGAACACCACGTGACCATATTCGTATGCAACCAACAATACATTTTTGTTATCATGTTTACTCAGGTAACATTATCATAAACAGTGTGTGCGATTTCATCCCACAACACCCTCTTAATTTGGACCATATCGACCGATTTTCAAATACAAAAATTCCATAATATAGCACTCAACGAGCTCTATTCGAAAATGTGGACAAATTTGAAATATTCAAATTTTCAAGGCCTACTTTTGTTTGTTGAAAGGGTCAAAATTTCAAAAAAGCCTATTAGGCAATTTTTTTCGATATAGGGACTAGCCTATTCGATTCAGGCAATACCCCCATACGAAATTTGAACGCTTACAGTTTTTGATTTTTCGATTCACCCTGTACCAAGATCTAAGGAATTGATATAATCAGTGAAGTAGTTATTCAATAGAGGAACACATCGAATACATAGGTACGAAGTTTCGTCGCTGTAACTTCTAAAGGAAGATCTCTCTAGGTCAACCAATAATTAATGAAATTCGAAGTCGAAATTTTAATTATTATGATCCATAACTTTTTTCTAGGAAATATAGATAATTGTGACTAATCCGGGGTAATATTCTCTCTCTATACATAAAAATTTTCATTGTCATCTCAAATTTTCATTCCATTTCGCCAAAATTGATATATTATTATGATCACATCAAACATCAGTATATCTCCTAGCAGTCTTTGGAGAGTATTTGTCTGTCATTATATTTGTGTTATATTCGACAGCTCCTTATCAAACAAGGCGATTTTCAAAGTTACTGTGGGTAGTGTGTGAAATACGATTTACTTGAGTTTTCAGAATCGTGAATCTCAACTTGAGTTACAGCGATAGAACTTCGTGCCTATGTATTCGATGTGTTCCTCTATTGAATAACCACTTCACCGGTTATATCAACTCCTTAGATTCTGACACAGGGTGAATCGAAAAATCAAAAATATCAGAATTTGCCATTGAATAACTAACACCCTGTATGAGATTTTGCGTTCAAATTTCGTATAGGGGTATTTCAGCTATGCCTGAAATAGGCTAGTCACTGTTTCGAAAAAAAATTGCCTAATAGTCGTTTTTGAAATTTTGACCCCTTCAACAAACACAAAATCTGAATATTTCAAATTTGTCCACATTTTCGAATAGAGCTAGTTGAGTAGCATTTTTGTTTCTGAAAATCGGTCGACGGGTTCCGAATTAGGAGGGTGTTGCGGGTTGAAATTGCACACACTGTATGTCATATTTGCTCCTTAGATCATCACTTATTCATTTATTTATTGACGGGCGAACCCAGTGTAAAAGAAAAAAACATAAATATATAGCCTATACAACAGATTCCTAGATTTATTTATTTATTCATTTATTTATTGAACAAATAACTTCCAGACAGAATAGGCTCTGGTATAAGGAAGTACATAATTATATACCTATAGGTAAACATATCATTATACAAAATATATCAACAACTGTAAATTGACAAACAAAAAATAATATTTGTGAAAAAAAAAGAGTGGCATGTTCAATTTTATCCAGTTCGCTCAATTTTTTCACTTCATTTTTGAATGAACCTATATTTCTGCAATTTTTTATATTGTCAGGTAGTTTATTGAATTCAGTTAAGGCTGAATGAGTGAATCTTTTTTGTCCGATAATGGAGCTAGCGGCGTCAAGATGAGACAAGTTATATATTATATTATACTATAATCCCAAATTTTCATGGTTTATTGCGATTTTCGTGGTGAAGCCATATTCGAATCTAGTCGATAACTAGATTTTCAGATTCAGCACCACAAAAACCATATAGATCCGTCGAGAAAAATTCTTCAGCAATTTTTTTCTGAATCCAGTGCTTTCCGTCACCAAATGACTGGAATGTTGTAAGTTCCGAAGGATTAATAAATTGGTCGATTGATTGCAGGCGGGAAAGAACGCGTCGGGGCAGACGCACTACCTGAGCCTTTCGGGCTTCGAGCTGTACGGCCGTGTGACGGAGGTGTGCGAAGACATGGGCAGGGCGCACAAGGAGCAGGAGGCGCACGTCAGGAAGCAAAGGCGGCTGGTGAAGTCGCAGCTGCTGAAGCACATGGCTGTGGGGGCGAGGGTGGTGAGAGGGGTGGATTGGAAGTGGAGAGACCAGGATGGGAATCCGCCGGGTGAAGGTAAAAATTTGTAAAAATGTTCATTTGGTTGCCCCCTTACTAGCAATCTTCAGAAGTCTTCCAGACACTTGCGCGATTAAGGAATGATGGAGCCTTACCTTAACTTGTGATCCCCAACACTTTCTTAGGCATTCAGAAAAATTTCTGCAACGGGGAATTGAACCCACACCGACAAGCGAACGCGGATTAGAATACTGACGCTTCTACAACTATGCTTCCTGCCCAGGTGTTTTTTTTTCTGTTGTTTGGCATCATATAGAAAAAAACTTAATAATAATTTATTTTGAAATTGGGCGTTGAGTTTTGCTTCAAAAAATACAAAAAATGGACTACTCGGTCGGAGTCACGTGAAGCTACATGTGAAAAGCTCAATTTTTGTCAAATTAATCGCTGAAAGTAGGCTTGTTTGTTCGAATTTCAAAAAATTTTACTGAGCTTATTTTTTTCACATGCGAAAATGTGACGTTTTCGTTGTTTCAACTAATAGCAATTCGTTATTCTAGCCAATCATTCGGTATTATATTGATAACACTGCATGGTCCCCGATATTCACATTGACCTGTCAAAACGAAACTAAATAAATAGGAAAGACCCAACTGAATAACTGTTCTTATTCTTATAGGTATATTTGATGATTGAATCAACAATAATTATCACTGGACTGAATAAAAACTATTCCCTTCATAAACAATAACATCCCTAGTTTATAGTTCAATAATAGTTTGACTCACCTGCGTTGATTATTATCCTATTCTTATATGTGTGATGATTGAATTAATACTACTGATTATTATTACTGGGCTGAATACGAACTATATCTTCCATAAACATAAACAATAATATTCTTTGGTTACAACAAATAATCCGAGCAAGTTAAGTCTACAGAAAATTTCCGACCGTGAGCGCAGTGCTTCAAAATTCATTAAAAATTATGACAATGGAAGTATGTAGAATTACTTTGACTCGTGAATAAAATAATCTCTCCAAAAACAACTCGTCCCTCAAATATACAGGGTGTATCTAAATAACACCGAAAAAATTCAAGGGGTGATTCCTTGTGATATTCTAGCAAATAAAGTTCATATAAACATGTGTCCTTACTTGCTCCGTTTTAGAGATACAGGATGTTGAAGTTGGAAGTATTAATTGTTTTTATTTATAACCCCCCTGTATAAGCTTTCATTGTGCCAAAATTCAGTATGGTTGGAGACTGAGAAAGTCCCGAAATTTCAAAATGATTCTAATTGGGGTTATTGAGTTACACAGCTTCGCCGATGATAGTACCCTCCATACCGCCTTCTCTTCCAGGGCTCCAATACCAGCCAGGCAAATCAAAAACGAACGAGGGAGAAATGTTGACAACATAAATATGGGCTTCTCTCAACAATTCTCGAATGGGGATCCAATAACTTGGTAGATTTCAATGCAAACAAAACACAAGCATGCCTTTTCTCTAGAAAAGTCGATCTCACTGTGCCCAACATAAGCTTGTCAGGAGTAACCATACCTTCGAAGACATCCATTTCGATGCTTGCTTTCGATGTATTACTATCAGCAATAACCTTTCCTGGGGAAATTACGTGTGATCAATTGCTAAAAGTGCATCCCAAAAACGGTAAAAGGTAAGGCCCCGTCATTCCCTACTTGCGCAAGTGTCTCGAAGACTTACTTCTGAGGATTGCATTCCAAAAACTTGGTTTTCTGTTTCGGGCCAGGAGCTATTTCAATTCCATTCAGCTGCTTATGATCTATAAGGCACAGATCCGACCTGTCCTGGAATACTGCTCCCATATCTGGAGTGCAGCATCCAAACATACCCTGAAACTGTTGGATTCTGTCCAAAAAAGGGCAATTCGCCTCGTGTGTGATGCCTCGCTCACAAACTCACTCCTATAGAACACCGTAGAAAAGTTGGCGGTCTGGCTCTATTTCATAGATATTTTCATGGACAATGCTCTTCTGAAATATCAACAATTGTTCCGCCCTTGGCAGTCCCTGCGAGATCGACCCGTCGAGTTGAGGCTTCGCACCCTTTCGTGGTCACTTTGTACACCTGCAGAACATCTCTTTCCAAAGACTCGTTCAGCCAACGAACAGCGAGGCTCTGGAACACATTGCCAAGAGAGGTGTTCCCCGAGGCATACAACCTCCAGAAATTTAAGAAGAACACCAATTCCTACCGTATTTCCCTTGGTTCTCACGATGTTCTTCTTACATTACAGGATATCCCTATTCGTGGGAACCAGAACATGAAAGAATAAATCTCAATGGAAGTCTTGAAAACACGCCTACATTAAAATTTGGAGTCAAATCGAATTTTCATTGTTTCCTCAAAAATTAAACTAGATACAAAAATTACACAAAGGATGAAAAAGTTGTTATTTCAATAATTCAATCTAATAAAAATATGAAACTCAGAATAACCGGTGGCGTACAATGAAATTCACCATGAATATCGATAAATTTACCCACTGGAAATATTATTCCGAATCTAATTACACCAGAAGAAGCCTCATATTACTATCAAACCACAACGTTTTATTGAAATTGATGAAAAGACAACTGACTAATGAATAAAAAAACGATTTTTCATAGAAATATTAATACCCTGTATCTCGAAAACGAAGCAAGTTAGGACACAAGTTTATATGAACTTTATTTCCTAAATTATCACAAGGAATCACCCCTTGAATTTTTTCGGTGATATTTAGATACACCCTGTATATCTGATAATATATAACGTTGTGTCTCTTGCAAATGTAGGTACCGTCACCGGCGAGCTGCACAGTGGCTGGATCGACGTCACGTGGGACCACGGCGGCTCCAACTCGTACCGCATGGGCGCCGAAGGCAAGTACGACGTCAAACTGGCGGCAGGCTACGACGCGGAAGCGGCCGCGACGTCGGCGTCGACGTCGAGGTACGCCGCCGCCGCCGGCAAGCCGAAGACGGACAGAGAGAGGCAGCAGAGCGTGCTGACCAGCAGGAAGTCGAGCTCGACGCCGAGTCTGCCCGAGGCGACGGACGTCAGGACGTCGGTGGCGTCGACGGAGCAGGCGGCGTCTGCCGACAATTTGGCAGCCAAACAGGTGATTGTAGTGGAGCTGGAGATTTTGGTGGTGATGAGTTGGATGTTGACTCAAAGACGGTTGACGATAGATTCTACTTTATTAATTGAATATAAAAGCTCTAAAGTCCTTTATTTATTTATTCATTTCAACGGTTACATCATTGTTATAAAAGTAATAATAACAAAAAAAATAATAAAATAACTGAAATAAATAGGAGCAATGACAATGGGCGTGTACACCTCAGTAGAACTTTTAACTCAAACCATGTTTATAATGATCCTTTCATACATAAATAATGATTGACGACATAATTCGATCGAAAAATTAACTGAAATGTTTTATTTTTGGACATAAATAATAGCACCTTTTGAAAACGGACCGTCTTATGACGTAGAAACCTCATCTCGCCATTGTTAAAAGAAAATACCAAACGCCCGTCGGAGACTGAGGCAACTGATATATTAATTCTTTCAACTGTGATCTCGCGCTAATTCACTCTATCAGAAATCATGTATCATTCATCTCTGTATGGAATACTCTTGTTTGCGTATTAGGGTTTTGACGTCACATCATCGCCTCGTTTTCAGAGGTCCGAAAAATCGGGGATTTCAATAATTTTTTATAAAACGTAGGGAGCTCACAGCAAGAAACGGTTTGCGGTGGTGAGCTAGTTTGGATGAGTTCTATCGAATTGTGAAATAATTTTTTTTTGTGATATAAGCCCATTACACTCATAGAAAAATAGATATTTGAATAATGCTGAAGAAATCACTAATGTCATATTTCGCCAATAGAGCCATTTCGCATAGTTTTAGTGGATATTGTTGTTGTTGTTGTTCTTTATTACCCCAAGAAACATATTTGTTTATAATAGGGATACATACATATGATATATATATATAAAACAATTAAAAAAAACTAATTAACAAGTATATGTCAATATAACATAATAATTAAAATAAAACCATTCCAAGTATTCAAATGAGAATAAATTGCTCCGTTTATTGTGTCATGAGTATATATTTTTTCATATTGACTTTGAATCTTGTTTCATCATCAATATGAGTTAATAGTCTGATATAAATAATGGATATTGAAAAGGCCATCTCTGAATATACTGAATCGAATGGGCCATGATTTCAGTCACTGTTTTTGATGTTTTTTACTGAAATGAGATTTTGTCCTATTTTCTTATCATCCTGTATATTCTACAATGGTGCTTTTTCGTCTTTCATTGTCCTCCACGAAAGATGAGAACAGTTCTTCCCAATATTCAGCTCAAGTGGAGTTCTAGAGAAAAAATTCAAGAAATGCAAGACTTTCGAAAAACTATCGAATTTTTGTTCCAATGGCCAATTAAGTAAAAATTTCTCGAGTTCTGGCAGCATTGGAAATGTAGACAATAGTATAATGGTTCCACTTTACACACTGTGTAAGTTTTGTTCTGCGGACTTTTTCAGAGTGTTCTAGCTCTCTTTGAAGACGATGAAATATCACATCTGATATCGAAAACCGCATGAAGATCGGTCAATTTTTTCAAAATATACAGGTCTTCGAAATAGAGTCAAATTATGAGTGGTCCATTTAGTGTGGCACACCGTGTTTAATGATTAGAGGAGGGCTTTGAGTACATAAAATAGGTATGTGGCCATAGTGGAAGGAGAAGATGGTGTGCTCAACAGAAAGCTCAAACTCGTCTTATTCTGCGCATGACGTCAGCTGGGATATAACTGTCATTGCTATTATTTGTTTTCGTGATTGATCTCTCGAACTTCAGATATTATATAAGTACTAAAATTGAATGAAATAATTTCGAAATGCCTACTTGTTTCGTTTCTGGTTATGGAAATTCGAACTAACATAAAAAAGGCACATATATTGACCGACAGAATATAGACTCAAATAATGGTACCTACCTTATATTCCTTATATCCTCATTCCAAAGTATTCACCTATCATATTATCATCACATTCATATTACAGCACGTATTTCTTCAAAACATTTCCATGCAAAATGTTCCCAAACAAGTGCGAAAGTACGGTTCTTGAATTACACACCTCCAAAAAATCACAAATATTTGAAACATAATGCCATTCCTACAGAACATCTTCCGAATATCGAGTGAGAAATAATTGAAAATGAATTCAAAACTCTTAATTTCTCACAAAATATAAATTGCAGCAAAGATTTGAATAACAAAACGGCAAAAATTGATACTCCTGATGTCGATGTCGGAGCAGAAGCAACGTCAACGTCGTTAACTGCTGAATTTTAATCTGTCAGAATCGTCACATGCAGTAGCGGATCATTCAGATGGAATTGGCAATGCATGATAATTCGTATGTATTTGCTATTTGCGATTGCGAATGACCTCAAGATCACAGTTTCCATAATCAATGAAATAGTAAAATCGAAGGAATAGGTACCTGTTTATATGAATTGAATTATTTCTAAACAGATCGAGAAACTTATAGAAATTTCAATAAACATGATTGAATTCATTGCGCACGTCCATGGCAACGGTATCTGTCTGTGACTAGCGAATGATATTGGTATCCCAGATGACGTCACATAAGATGCGCGTAGGCACACCATCTTCTCCTTCCACTATGGTATGTGGCGTAAATTCGACTGGTGTGTACAATATCCCATTGCTTACAGGCAGCTGAGACGATAGCGGAAAGCGTCCTATCGGTGGCGCGCAACGAGGCCCTCGTCGCCGTGACGAACGAATCGCAGGCGGCCAGCACGGAGAGCGAGCTGTCGGTGGTGGTGCACCCGTTGCGCGACCCCCACCACGACCTCTCCGCCATCAACAATTCCACCGATTTGGCGACCATCGTCGAGAGTCTGGCGCTGTGCGACGCCGCAACGAAGCCGCCCGCCGGCGAGCAGAAGACGGCCGGGGCGGCGAGTAATGCGTCGTCGAATATTGGGCGGTCGAATCGAGGGTCGAAGATCAACAGCTCGCAGGTCGGTATATACGAATGTATTAGTTATAGGGTCCCTTGATAAATCTTCTTTTATGTTCATCTGGAAAAGAGTCATACCTGATAACCAAATAGATCCTTTAAATATCGGGAATTTTTGTATAAATCCTACAAAAAACTCCAAACTCTTAGGTTTAACTATAGACCAGACTGTATCTTGGTCATCGCATATGCAATTGCTCAAAAAAAATCTCCCATTGTTGCAATATTATACAAATTGAGGTCTTTTATACCTCTTAAATACTTGAAATTGATTTATTTCAGTTTGATTTACTCTAAATTGCAGTATCTGATATCGATCTGGGGTACTGCAGCAAAATCTGTTTTGAAACCTCTCAAATCTCTTCAAAATAAAGCCATAAAATGTATTTATAAACTACCATTTCTGGAATCAACATCTAGACGGTATAAACCAAGCGATCTACTAGATATTGACTCTCTCTTCAAAATGAAAGTATGCATTTTCATTCATTTCACTAAAAATACGCGAAAGCACTCGAATCTTACTTTCAATATCAATTCTGATACCCATGAGCATCACACCAGACAAAGTGAACATTTCAAAACTGTCAAAATAAATTCCTTCCTCCAGGAGTGACATTGCTTCCCTTCAAAAATAAGTTGTGACACAAAACGAAACATAAATCTTGGGGTATATTTATAAAAATTAAAGGTTATCTGACTTATCCGCCAGTTGTAACTAACAGATGACTATTAGACAGTGTAACTGCTGGATGAAACTTACCTTGTCATCAATAAATCTACCTTCTTATATTAAACTGGCAAATAAGCATTATCTGACAGATAGATTGCATATTTGATAAACTGGTCTGCCTATTGATAAAAAGTAAATGACCTGGTAATACCTCATGGGTGCTCTGGAATATTCCACTACTGCATGATCCAGCAGTTCAATTTTTCATTTCTCTCACTTCTCATGTTCCAAAATAGAGATATAATTAGTTTCATTCGTGGAACCGATTCAAAATATAGTCCTCGAAGGATTTTTCGACGCAACACCAAACTTTGAAATGCCCGTTTTTTCTCTGCAGGTAGCCGCGGCCGCTGCCCAAAGCTTCATGGAAGCCGTCGAGGCGCTGGACAAGATCCGCGAGGGCTCCGACCTGCTGCGCAACAACACCAACACCTTCTTGTCGGCGGAGCTGCTCCAGAGCGCGCTCAGCATCGGCCAGAGTGGCCTCAATCCGGTGCGCATCTCGGTGGAGACGGACGACGACCAGCCGGCGAAGCGGAAGATGGAGGGCGGCAAAGGGGGCAATTCGAGCAGTGAGAAAGACGAGGCGGTGACCAATACGAACAACGCGAAGAACAGTAGCAACGGGGCCATTGTGGTGAATCCGATGAGCGTGAGCGTGCCGAATTTGACGAGCGAGTCGAACAGCCAGATCGAGCCGAGCAGTACTGCAGGTATTATCGAAATTCTGGTCGTTCATTGATGTTGTCCTGATACCTCTATTATAAGTATATTATCAACCGTAGACATATAAAAAGCAGAAAACGATTATGACAAATTTCTGCGGATTGCCCTAGATCTACAGCCTGTGTTTGAAAAAGAGGGAAGCATTACTCATACATCAATTGACCATTTTAGAACACGTGATTTTGACATGGTTTCTTGAGGGGCACACAAACTATCTGTTAGGTTACCTTTGATGAGCATAGCCCTGTCCATCCCTGCCACATCCACAATATAATAACAGTTTCAGCAAGCAAAATTATGGAATTCTTTCTGGTTCCAACTCGGATTCCAAGGGAAACGATCCCACTAATTCTGGTTTTATATGACAAATCTTGACAGAATACAATGTTTGCCCCTCAGCAACCTGTCAAATGACGTAATTCTGGAACGATCAATTATCTTCCGATTTTCCGGTTTTTGATTTCAATTGGAACACCCTGTATTTTTTTTCCATAATTAAAATCATAATGTATTGTTGATTGTCTTTATTACCCCAAGAAACATAGTTGTTTATAATAGGGATACATAAACAATATACATAATGTTATACATACAATTATGAAATTATAATAAGATATAACAAGTTAAAAAAAAAAATGCAAATAATCATGCAATATCAACCTAGTCTTTTATAAATAGGTATTCAAATAAGAAATGGGATTATCAAAGTCTCTGAAGCTGATATTTTTTTAAGTTAATTTCGAATCTAGTTGCTTCCTGTATATTCCTCAATTGACTTGGTAATGAGTTGTATAGAACGATTCCTGTGTGGAAAATTGATTGTTTGCCGATATTTGACTTGGACGTATTTGCTATTAGTAAATTTGATTGTCTTGTTCCATGATTATGTAATGAATTGGTTTCATTGAAATTTAAATTCGAAATTTTCAATTTATATAGGACAAATTGAATAAAACAACATATTTTAAGTTTATATAGTGATGCCAGATCTAATAAATCTCTAGGTTTGTATAAATTCATGGTTGGTTCGAGAAAATTTAAATTGAAAATACACTTCAATGTTTTATTTTGTAATTTCATTAGTGGACCCAAACGTGAAATATTGGTACTTCCCCATATAGATATTAGGTATTGAAATTTTGAGTAAATAAGAGAGAAATAAATACTCTTCAAGTATCTGGTAGAAATGAAATTTCTTATTTTGAATAAAATGCCTGTAATAGGATTAAGTTTGTTCCTCAAATGATCTATATGTTTATTCCACAATAGTCGTTCATCAATATAAAGACCTAAAAATTGGAAATAGCTGTGGCAACGCTGTATTGGCGCGTTTACTACGAGTGACGCATATTTTTCTTGAAGTAATTCACGTATGTCAAATGCCGACGTTACAGTGTTGTGCTGTGTTTGTTACCATTTTAGGACTTTTTGTGTTTTAATTGATTTTCAGGGTTTTCTGGTTATAAAACTATCTAAAGACAATCATTAATAGTCTATTATGGTTCGCCATTGCATTGATTGTGAAAAAGTTCACCATTCAACTCCTAAATTGGTATTTCCACGGTGTTAAGTATAAGGTTATGTTTCATTCATCTTGAGCAGTGGTGCAGTTATCACAGGTTATTATTACGAGAAACGTTTTGTTTGTTCGAATTTCAATGAATGATGGATCAAATTTAGGTAAGTACCTAAGGTACTATGAATATTTTGCATTTAAATTAAAAAATTAGACCAAAAGATTTTCTAATAGGTATAATGGCGTTGTCATTGTAGTAAAATTGTCTTGCCCCTCGTTTAACCTACGCGACTGGTAAAGATAATTGTGAACATTGACGCACAGTTCACACGTTGCCATTTTTCAAATTCATCCATTTCTAACTTATCTGAAACCTTGGAAGTATTTGTGATTCTGAACAACGATATTTAGAAATTAGACCAAAACATTTTCTAATAGGTATAATAGCGTTGTCATTGTAGTAAAATTGTCTTGCCCCTCGTTTAACCTACGCGACTGGTAAAGATAATTGTGAACATTGACGCACAGTTTACACGTTGCCATTTTTCAAATTCATCTATTTCTAACTTATCTGAAACCTTGGAAGTATTTGTGATTCTGAACAACGAATGACAGCGAGTCCTGTTTCTTGGTCTTCGTAAACATAAGAGTGAGTAAGGTATATGACACGTCTTGAATGCTCATGATTCATGATCTCCAGCTCGATCTCGTGAGTGGAATAGCTTCTCTCATAGTACTAGCGGTCTAGATAGTAATTCTTGTCAGTTGGCTCAACGCCCAATGGTATCAACTATCAACTTCATCTAATATCACAATCAACCAATTTAAAGCTAAGATGAAACAAAATTTCCAAGAGAAAAAGTGGGGAAGGGTTATATGTATACTTCAGTAAGACTCCTGCCTTTGTTTTCAGTGATTAATTGTATTGTGACACAGGTGCAATCGAAGTAATTGATGTCAGGTGTGCCAAAAATTACCTACTTATGTGAATTCTTAACAGCTATGTACCCAAGTCAGTAGTTGCGTTTTATTTGTCCGATTCTGTCACCAGAAGCATTTAATGTGTCGTTTTATTTGCAACTTTTCCGATTCTGATTGCTATTTTCCATTTCGTTTCACTACAAGGAATGGCAAGGAATGACAGTTGTAAAAAAATTAAATTAGTTTGACGAGAAACGAAACTTTTTGAAAGTAGAAGACATTTGAAAGACAATTTTTATCGTGAGGTTCACAAGTATATGAGTCTTTCAAGTAAGACAGGTATCATAAATGTTCATTCACAGATAAAATTGATTCTCCTATGAATTCTCCCGATTTCAGAGAAGTTTCTCCAATCACCACAATCACTGCTCCAAATATGCGTTGATTCATTTTCTAGATTTTTGCTCTAGTAGGTATTATGATAATGAAATTATTCGAGGGCCCAATATATAAATATAACCTCCATCATCTATAATATGTCAATTCTCATGCAAGGTCATGAAGTTTCTCGTTTTATTTGTAAACTTCATTCTGTTCCCACCACCGCTACCAGAATGGAACAAATAAAACGCAACTAGTAATTCACCGCAGAGTGCCTTCATGGCCTTCATAAGCTTGTGTAACAGTGTAGGTGATTTGGCAATTCGTAGGCTTATAAAGGGCTTATATCTTTTGTCGAAATCCATTTCCACATATTGCTTTTTGTCAATTCCTGGATCTCCTGAATTCTATTTGCAATGAATGGTTTGAATTTTCTAGATTTTTTTCCTAGCCAATATAAAACTGTCTGTGAATCGGACCATAGATGTATTTTCGAAAACTGTATGCTGGCATGTTCAATGATGAATTTAAGTAATCTGCTTCCTGTTGAAGCTGCGAGTAGTTTCAGTCGTGGTATCGATAATTATTTTAGAGGTGCTAATCTGGTTTTTGCTATCATGAATGAAATATCGACATTATCCGAAATGTAGGTGATTTGGCAATTCGTAGGCTTATAAAGGGCTTATATCTTTTGTCGAAATCCATTTCCACATATTGCTTTTTGTCAATTCCTGGATCTCCTGAATTCTATTTGCAATGAATGGTTTGAATTTTCTAGATTTTTTTCCTAGCCAATATAAAACTGTCTGTGAATCGGACCATAGATGTATTTTCGAAAACTGTATGCTGGCATGTTCAATGATGAATTTAAGTAATCTGCTTCCTGTTAAAGCTGCGAGTAGTTCCAGTCGTGGTATCGATAATTATTTTAGAGGTGCTAATCTGGTTTTTGCTATCATGAATGAAATATCGACATTATCCGAAATGTAGGTGATTTGGCAATTCTTAGGCTTATAAAGGGCTTATAAGGGCTAATAGGCTAGCTGGCTAATAAACGGTGCACTCACACTCAATTCATCTATATTACTATATCCATAACAACAATAATATCAAACATCGCGAACATAATACAAAGGGATTATATATACAAAGGGATTCAATAAATATAAATCTTCAACAAACAGTTTCTCGGAATCAATCAAAGAAAAAGGCAATAGTGACTACCAATTAATTAAAGATTAGCAACGAACTTTTCAGGCCTGCTGGAAACGTTCACCGCCCTAGCGAGACGCCGAACGCTCGCCTCCGTCACCGCGTCCAACGCCTCCAACATCAACGCTACCAACAACACGCAGAACGCGCAGGCGCACAACAATCAGCACGCGGGCGCTCTCTTCCCGCGCGCCCCCAATTCGGTGTCCAGCCTGGTGCGCCTGGCGCTGTCGAGCAATTTTCCCGGCGGGCTGCTCAGCGCCGCCCAGAGCTACCCGAGCCTGTCGTCCAGCAACCAGGTGGGCGGGCAGCAGAACGCGGGCGGGATTTCGACGGCGGCCGGGGCGGTGCAGGGGTTGAGCCAGGCGTTGACGATGAGCTTGACGTCGACGAGCAGCGATAGCGAGCAGGTGGGTGGATTTTTTCCTTAATCATTCATTTGTCATTTATTCATCAAACAACTTCATTTGATCATTTCCCGCCGAATATTCATTTTCAAGTTTAGTTTTCAGTTGAATTTTTGGATATTCTGTATTATTTATACACTCACCGGCAAAAGAAACCGGCCACCAAATAATTTAGCCAAATTGTTTGCTCTGTAACTTTATCAATTCTGGTCCGATTTTGGTGAAATTCCGACCAAATCGTATATTCATGTTTCCAAATGTTAGCCTGAATATTAGTTCCTAAGAAAATCTGATGACTCGATCATTATACAGGGAAAAACGAAAGTTACTTTTTCACCCTTAACTTCTGAACGCCCTGTGGGAAAGGTGAGTGGTTTAACTTAGCTTCATTATGTTTTAGATTGGAGAGTGATCTCTTCTCTACATGATTTTTTTTTATTCACGTCGATAACCACTTTTTAAAGTAAAGGAAGATACAAGTGTTTCAAGAGAGTATGGATATTTAAATTTTTCATTTACAATAATTCAGAACCATTCTCCAACCTTCTGCTTCAGCATGTTTTAAATTGAAGTGAGATCCTCTTTTGTTCCTTCTTCATACAACGGTTCTTGAATAACGTCAATATCTCCTTTTTGAGAGAAGATACATGTGTTTCAAAAAAGTATAGATTTTTTGATTTTCAATAACAATAATTCAGAACCTATCTACCTATCTTAGGGGTGACCTCTAGAGGTTCATTCGCCTTCGCCCAGCCTTGTCAGATACTCTTCAAGAGCTATGATTCGCTCTTCAAGGAGGATTTTGGGCAATTCTTCAAGGCTACTTGAGTAATTTGATCAATTCGATGCCACTGCGGTTGAATGCTGTAATTCAATATCGAGGAGAGTATACTCGTTATTGACTACAGGTCTGCTTCTTGTTTGTTTTTTGTAATTGATTTTCCGGTTAGTGCTAAAAAAGTTAGGTAGAAATATGTGATATCAATCCTTGAAGTTGTTAATCAATAAGTTCATGTAAGTTCTGATTATTGGTAAAAATAGTTGGAAAACACCATACTTCCTTAAAACACGTGACGTGAATCAAAAACTTTTGTGTTAAGAAGGGATCATACTTCAATCCGAAGCATAATAAAGCCATGTTCAATCACGAATTTTGCCACAGGGCGTTGACAAGGATAGGGTGAAAGAGTAACTTTGTTTTTTCCCTGAATAATGATCAAGTCATCAGCTTCTCAGGAAAACTAATATTTAGACTAACATTTCGGAACATGGATCTACGATTTGATCTAAATTTCACAAAAATTCGACAAGGATTTAAAAAGTTACAGTGTGAACAATTCGGGCAAATTGGTGGCCGGTTTATTTTGCCAGTGAGTGTATTTATTTGATCAATTTTGTTGATAATTTCTTTGGGAGCATTTATGAAGTGATTGTTGAATAAATTCGATATTTCTCCATCTTCAATAATTTCAATATTATTGTGGGACACAACATTTTTCCACTCAATTCCAAAATAACTTTCCACGCCGCTTTGTTAACGTTTGTCGAATTAGCTATAATATTTTGATGGTGAATTTTTGTTGAAATTTTCACCAACCTGTCGTTCTGATAGTGATTTTTTTTAATGTTCACCAACCTGTCGTGTTTTTTCTCAGCTTCCTTATATGTGTTATGTAATTCAAGGAATTCTGTTTGGAGGTGATATAAAACCTGCAACTTGATACTGGACGATTTTACATCGTCAGTGACCCATTTTATATTGTTCTAAGATTTTCTCAAAGGAAAATACATCTCAAAATAAATGAGGAAGACTTACAGAAAGAAATCGAAAGCATCGTTCAAGTCGGTCATGCTATAAAGTTCCGACCAATTTTCTTTCAGAAGTGCTGTGTCCTTCTATAAAGATAGGAACCACTTTCCACGACGGTTTGTTCAGGAATCTCAAACAGTACAGTACGGGGATCTGATAAATTATTATCAACGACGCAGACAACAGTGTAGTTCCAGGTATTGAATATATGATCTATTATAGTCTCCCTTCCAGGTATCCCTCGAAGACTTCCTCGAATCGTGCCGCGCCCCGACCCTGTTGGCCGAGCTCGATGACGACGACGACGACATGGCCGACGGCGATGACGTCGACGACGATCGAGACGACGACGACGATGACGACGAGAACGAGGACGACGCCGATTACGAGGAGGTAAAGTGTAGCAATTCATTGATTCACAAAGACCACTGGGAAAGTGATAAAATACACGTCATAGGTTACATATAGTATACAGCTGATTCATAGTGTAGTGTAGGGTCCCTTTACGCAAGGTGATATATTTGTCATCTTACCAGGGTACGGACAGATCATCGTCTTCCCTTACTCTAAAGTGTTTGTGAAACAGTTATATAGTTGCATCCTTTTTCAATTCTGGGAATAGGTCGCGTGCATGATGACCGACCCTGGAGGCAAAATATTGAAACACAACCACACTCTTCTGTGAATTATTGAAACACAACCTCACTTTTTTATTTGTTTACAAAGGAATCAAAAGGTTGAAATAGTTTTTCACAATATTTTGGCATACGAATCGTGTTTCTTGCGTTATTCATTAATTCAAGCATGCCTTCGCATTGTGCTGTTGTACAATGCACAAAAAATGCAGCAAGAGACTAGGGAATATGATTTTTCAGGTACATAGTAATGTCACATAGTTATCATTATGAAATGTTGTCATTCCTTATTAAAATTCCTTCTGCCTTCTGCCACTTCTGCAATACAAGCTAATACTGCTAATGGATTGAAAATGTCTACAACACACACGATCGTCAGCATATAAGACCAGTCCTCCCGATTGATTGCATTAATCCAATCTTCTTGCATTATTCTAGAAATTCCAGGTATATTTCTATTAGCTCCTATTGCAGAAGGAATTCCGATGAGAAATCAGGGAAATAACCAAATTTCAAAAATGAAAACTATATGTGAGTGACTATAGTAGGTACTTACTTTTAAATCATAATGTACCATCCGGATTCCTTCATGTTCCGCTGCAGTTTTTGTGTATTTCACAACAGCACAATGTGATGGCATGAGCGAATTGATGAATAGCGGAAAAATATGATTCATATGCCAAAATAATCATTGTGGAAAACTATTTCGATCACTTGTAAACCTATAAGAAAAGTGACGTTGTGTTTCAATGTTTTGCCTCCAGCGTCGGTCATCTGACAGTTCTTGCACGCAACCCATAAACACTAGATTTCTGACATTTCTTGTTTTTCAGGTTATATTAGATCTGACATCACTATATAAACTTAAAATATGTTGTTTTATTCAATTTGTCCTATATAAATTGAAAATTTCAAATTTAAATTTCAATGAAATCAATTCATTACATAATCATGGAACAAGACAATCAAATTTACTAATAGCAAATACGTTCAAGTCAAATATCGGCAAACAATCAATTTTTCACACAGGAATCGTTCTATACAACTCATTACCAAGTCAATTGAGGAATATACAGGAAGCAACTAGATTCAAAATTAACTTAAAAAAATATCTGCTTCAGAGACTTTGATAATCCCATTTCTTATTTGAATACCTATTTATAAAAGACTAGGTTGATATTGCATGATTATTTGCTTTTTTTTTAACTTGTTTATCTTATTATAATTTCATAATTGTATGTATAACATTATGTATATTGTTTATGTATCCCTATTATAAACAACTATGTTTCTTGGGGTAATAAAGACAATCAATCATTGGCGTATCAACTCTACATATTATATCCAAATGATGATCAATAATTTTTGTGTTTTGGGTTTTTCAACTCCACTACTCCAGCATAATCTTTGTGACCTATACATAAATAAATTAATTTTGATTTCAGACTAAGCCTTATGTTTGAGAAATGGTGAAAACTTTGATGTAGGTATTTAAATTAATGTGCTCATATGTTATATGTGCTGTATATTTATATATTCATGTTAGGTATCATTTTTGCAGTTTTTTACGAACACTTGATATTTTCGTAATGTAGGTATAATTTTTCAAATGGTAGGGCATATGCCTCTTCTTTTAATCTTCAGTTTTAATCAAAACTGTTTCTACTAATATGCATTCAAAAACTTGTGGAGTGGATAATTAGGGACAATGATAGTACGTAGGTATAATATGTGATATCATATTAGTTTTACCTCGTATATTTTGCTGATGTATTTACCGATTTTCCCAATTCGGTCTCTTCACTTTCCATGTTCCAAATTTTATTTGCATCTGTTGGAAAGCTGGCAAATTCAAAATTGCCATCTAACTGATTGATGCAGCCTAACGCAGCACATGTTACCATCCTTCCAAAAGAGAATTCAATAATGTCATATTAAGATTAAGTGCTGATTAAAATTTTGTTGGATCTCTTTTAAAGCCTATGAATGTGACGTGACAGCAATGTCATGTCAGGGACGCCAATTCACAAAACCAAAGTCACTAGATCACTAAAAGAGAAAGAAGCTATGATCTGTCCCTACCCTGTCAAGATGACAAATACGTCAATTTACATCAAGGGATCCAAACAATTGTTACAATCAACAAATTAAACAGTGTTACTATATCTCAAGTACTCATTGCTTAACTGCTAATGTGGCAATAATGTTTACAAGAAAAAAAAAACGTAAAGGCGTAGAGCAACTGGCGCCAACACAATGTTGCCAAGTTGTTTTTTTACTTCGCATAACTTCACCGTTCTCATTTCTCAATATCATTGACAAGCAGGCAGTAATGCTTGTACTAAAATCTACTAAGTGAGCAATTTAGTATGGACTGATTCAAAATGTGTATACGTGTTAGTGTTTTAGTGAGGAAGGTTTATGTTCAGATCCTGAATTTCTGGATTATTTCATGATAACATAACCCTAACCTAAATGAGCCCTCGATTCACGTGAGTCAAGACACAGCATATTTTCGAGGAAGAAGATGAGAAAACGGGAAAATGCGTTTTTGTATATCTGGTTTTAAAACTTTCACACTTGTTTCGGATTCAATTTAATGCGCACCTGATTCTGCGCAGTCCAGTCCACGGACCGTCTCAATGGTTTGGAACAGGAAAAAACCTATTGTTCATAAAAATTTTTAAAGTCCATACTCTCCTAAAACACTAGTTTATTCTCTTTAAGAGAAGATAGTGACGTGAATCAAAATCCATTGTGTTGAGAAGGGACAAAAAGGGATCAAACTTTCATGCAAAACATGATACAACAGAAGATTTAAGAATAGTTCTGAATTAAAGTTAATAAAAATTTAAAAATGTCATATTTTCTCAGACCACATGTATCTACTCTTATAGAGAAGATAATGACGTGAATCGAAAACTATTGTGTTAAGAAGGGATCACACTTCAATCCGAAACGTGATGAAGCTAAGTTTAACCTCTCACCTTCGCCACAAAGCGTTAAGAAGTTGGGGGTGAATGGGTAACTTTTGTTTTTCTCAGTACCTATAATAATCAAGCCATCAGCTTTTTTCAAGAATTCAAATTCAGGCTAACACTCCAGAATATTAATCAACGATTTGGTCGGAATTTCACCAGAATCGGACAAAAATTGAAAAAAGTTTCAGGGTTATCAATTTGGCAAAATTTTTTGGTGGCTGTTTTTTTTTACCTGTGAGTGTATCTATAATCTCGTATGAAACCATGATTTATTGATTTATATGTTGTCCTTATTGTTTGGTATGTTATCCTTATTAGTGTCACATATTATTTTAGGTACCATTGTCTGATGTTGGCCGTAGTGCCGAAACTGGTAACTTTTCACTGAAGATCTTCATATAAAGTGTGGTCGACCGACTTTGCGATGCCTGTTTTTCTTTTAGGAACCCTATTCTGTCTGCAAGTTATTCGTTTGATGAATAAATAAAATGTTTTCATAGGTGATGGTGTCGCGCAACCTGCTCACCTTCATGGAGGAGGAGAGCTTCGAGGCGGCGGCGACGGCGGTGGCGGCAGCGGGCGGAGTAGGCGGCGGCGCGACGACGACGTCGCGACCGGCGGCGAAGAGGCGTTCGTGGGACGACGAGTTCGTGCTGAAGCGGCAATTCTCGGCGCTGATACCGGCGTTCGATCCGAGGCCTGGAAGGACGAACGTCAACCAGACTACCGGTGAGTGAGATGTTTATAATTCCTCTGGTAAACAAAAACATACATAACCACTAATGCACTTGGAGCAGGAGTTCCGAAGGTAGTTGGCTTCATTTTGACAGGTTATGGTTTTGTTATTTATGCATTGAAATATCTCGAATAGAGCTCGATCCTCAACGAAGATATCATTGAATCAATGAATCACTATCGGCTACATTCAATGATACTATCCTTCCTAATTTACTGTCATCGGTCAGAACAGAATGAAGCCGACGCCCATGCCTCCTTCCTCTTGTTGTGTATATAAAATGACCGGCAAAGGGACTGTCGGACAGTGTTGCATCATATCCAATGATTCCTTACAGATCTGGAAGTACCACCTCCTGGTCAAGAGGAAAGCGCCTTTGTGCCCGAATACGAAATCCTGCCGCAACCCAAGCTCCAGCTGGTGCTGAAAGGTCCGAACATGCCCGGCGTGTCGGACGTCGAGATCGAATTGAGCAATCCGTCTTGGTCGATATTCCGGTCCGTGCAGGAATTGATGCAGATGACAGAGTTCAGCTCGAGACAAGAGAAATTGAGGAGGATTTGGGAACCCACATATATGTGAGTGACTATCAACTTTCAATATTGGATTTTCAAATTCAAGAAACTGAGAAATGTGGATATTTCTTGCAACCAAATTATCTACATATCATATTTAGTAGAATCTACAATTAGGTATGGAGGTACATCAAATGACTACGAAATTATAGCTAAAAAGCTAATTCTAGAAAAAAAACAGGACTTAGCTTTCAAAATGTTTGGACATTCGACACCTCACGCTCTAGTAACGCTAACTAGTGAGACTGAGAAATATTAGCCCTCATTGTAATAGTCCATAAAAAAGAATTCTGGCATCGAACCTTTCTACTTGCCAACAAATTCGAATTTATCGCTATAGTTCATTCCAACTTAGGAAATGGTAGAGAAGCATTGACATCTGCTTTGACGTATGAAGTGACGTAAAGATTGAAGTTTTCTGTATGGGAAGATGATCACATCATAACATTACATCCATTTCTTGTATTTTGTTATGTTATGATATAATAAATCCTGAAAATAAACACAAATTGGAATTCAATAATTGGAATGGCTGTGATTTTTTAATTAAGCGCCTCATTTTCATTTCGTCAGTGTAAATATTCCTTCTGAGTTAGCGCCGCATACTATCTTCTTATTTGGAATGTAGTATAGAATCTTTCTGATTAGGCTTGGCTGAAATTTTTGCAAAACGTATTCGTGCGTTTCGAGAACCTATGCAAACTTAATTTCCAAAACTTCAAAATAGGACGAATTACACCAATTCATAAATATGGAATATGGAATGTACAACAGGCTTAGTTTAGTTAGTAGAGATTAATACACAACTACAGTATAAGGACAATCTGGTTTGAAAAAGAACCGACGTTGTGTTGAGAAAACTCGAAAATTATCTGACGGTAGTGACGGTGACAGTTGTTGTCGATGTATAGAAGTGTGTTGAATGAAAGCAAGGTGCATATTGAATTTATCAGTTATCAGGAAATCTAGGTAGCTTTCATACCTACAAATGCCGGGTGATTGGCCGGTTTTAGTTATTTTAAGAAATCTCATTGGTTCTTGAAATAGGCGTGTATTAATCAGTATAGGCGACTGAGATTAAGATCGTAGCGCCTGAACGGCGAATGTCGGTACTACTCTATGGGCCATTGGCGGATTGTTTACATTGTTTGGTAATGGTGTTTATGTTCATTTCGTTTCGAGTTTTCGAACGTTCAGCTTTGTTATTTGTCTATTTTCGAACAAATGTATGTCTATTGTGTTTCGATTGAGGACTATATTATCTTTGTTCAACATTAGATATACTACCTACCTCTAGTTGAACTTCATATATACCAACATACATAAGCTGCAACTTCTTATCATTATTGATCAAGAATTCTCATGAAAACCTGTGTGGGATGTTGATTTCCAATTCGAATATATGGCTGGGATATTCCTCTGATAGCATGATATTTTCAAAAGAAAATCCAGCATACTTTTTGGGCATAAAATGTTCTTTGGAATGTAAATTTAGGTATATATTTTCTACTTGACTTTTTACAACACAATCATCAAAAACCTGAATGATAAAATTCTTTACTGTTTAGAAATTCTACTGTTCATGAGTAAAGATATAATCAGTTTAAAATTTGTTCGTTTTTTTACCATTACCTCAAGAAGCCGGTATTATATTCATAATAGACATACATTTGAAAATATATATGAGTGAATTTTCAGTGAAGTGTAAAAAACAATCTCTCATTATGTTCAGACACTTTTTTCAATCTTCAAGTTATGAATCCACACCTTTCTCCTATCGATCATTTTCTTGTTTCCCAAATTACTAGTTTCAAATACAAATTTGGACTGTCCTGATTTTGGAAAGGTATGAAAGCAATACTCGGGATTTTTTTTGCTCAAGATGAACAATGAGGTACACAACAATAATAATTCATGTTTTTAAACGTTTATAGAAGTTCTCAAACAAAATTATAGACAATTAAAACACAACTACTTATCATACAAAACACACGCAAACTAATGTAAACAAAGCAATCAATGGCCCATACGTTAGTAATATTAGACAACGGTAGAGGGCGTACTCCTTAGCAAGATTCGCCTATAAATAAATCGATTTGAAAATACCATCACCTGATTCCCCGTGTTGTCTCCCACAGGATAATCTACAGAGAAACCAAACCGGAAGGCAGCTACGACGCGGAGGACGGCCGAGCCACGCCCACCGCCCACTCCCCCTACTCGCGCAGCGGCGGCAGCTCGTTGGCCACGCCTTCGCCGAGCACGCCCGTCCCCGGCGGTCCCTCCGTCACCGGGTGTACGGTGGAGGACGTGCTGCAGCTGCTGCGGCATCTGTTCGTCATCGCGACCAGCAGGAGGGGCGAGGAGGAGGACCTGAACACGAGTGGGTGGGGCGAGGGCGTGGCGCCTGAGGAGTTCGCCAGCAAGAAGATTACCAACAAGGTAGGCGTTTCATCCGGTATTAGCCTATAAAGTATAAAAAAATTTCATCTTGTTGTTTACATGATAATGTGTTGTTAAATAAGGAAGGATTGCAATAAAAATTGCAATTCTGATATCATTCTCCATTTTATTATCATATCCATACAAATACAGTCCACTATCTATCAAGTATCGAACATATCAATCCGGCTCGAAGGACCAATTACTTCTTGTTGCTACCTGCAAGTTCTAACTGCTTGGCTTTCACTGTTACTCCAGGTAGTCTTGAGTGATGCTCTGTATCCTATGTGAAGAACATGGCAGTTTTTGAAGGTTTGATTTGAACAGATCTGACTCGAAGGACCTAGAGAGAGAGAGAGAGAACATCTTTATTAGGGATATACCCCAAAAGGCCATTGACCGAAGTCTTTCAGCCCAGTTTACAATTATAATATATAAAGTATGAATATTAATAATAATAGTAATAATAGTTTAATGAGAAAAAAAAAGATAATTGCTAATTGCTTTCTTGCTATCCTGTTTGCTGCATCTGGATCAGTCCTTGAAAAATGGTTATTTCTGGAAATTTTCTTTTTCTTGTGTAGTTTTCCGGCATCCCAATAACTTGTGTGGAAGGACCTATATTTTAATGAAATAAAGGATGTTAGAATTGCAATTTGTATTGCATTCCGCATTGCATTATTGATAAATCTTATGTTTCAACTACACGTCATCATGTTGACAACAAATGATCTCTTATACTAAATAGGGTAATACAAGTACCAAACTATTATATACGGCCATACAAGTAATAAACAGTGTACCTATTGAATAGAAAATGATGCTGTTATAATAATATCAAGATCACCTAACAAGGTAGGAGTTTCAGATTGAATGGTAGATCGATATACACCTCGATTCGTTCAAAAATCTTGTGTCCCATGCTGTACAATTGTGCAAAATGATGTGGTTTCGAAAATTGATGTGTACAGGGTGGGCCAAATTGGACACTTTTGAAAGGAAAGTCCTATTCCCATACTAGATTGAACAAAACTGATGTTGGTGCCTGTGCCTGTTGATCAATTCACATGACAAATTCAATGGTGAAAACTGCATATCGATATCTATCTTCGTTTCAGAGTTACAAGGTGTTTTTTCGAAAATATGAATTTTTGAAAAGTAGCTGAAACTCATTTTATTGTCCAGAATTCTTCGTTTCCATAAAAACATTTCCAAAGCATTGTTTGTCATGAAAATTGATCCTCGGCACTGAAATCAGTAATAATATATCTAGTTTCGGAATAGAACTTTTCCTTCAAGAATAACAAGTTATACTTTAACTTTATTTAATTTTATTTTTAGCCACTTCAAAAATGCCCATTTTCGAAAAACACCGTGTAACTCTGAAACGAAGACAGATATCCATATGCGGTTTTCACCATTGTGTTTTGCATGAGAAGGCACCGACATCAGTTTTCTTCTATCTAGTTGGAGAATAGGACTTCCCCTTTAAAAGTGTACAATTTGGCCCACCCCGTGCATTAGTAAAACATTCGCTCGTACGACTTGAATGTTGTACAATTCCTGAATTGAAAAAAAAATTTGATCAGGATGACAAGAAGAGGAAGAAGACAACAGAACATAATATAACACTGAATTAAGGATATAAGCATAGAACTCGCCTTTTTGTTTTGACATTTAACATCATCAGTTATTATTTAATCGTACAGGGTGAGGAGTCAATGACGAAACGTGTTCGAAATATTTATAAAATTTCTAGTGCCATGTAAGAAGCACGATTAAGAATTCATGAAAATAGCAAAGAAATGAATTTTCAGTTGCTAAATGAATAAATAAAATTTTTTTTCAGCTGCTGCAACAAATCCAGGACCCCCTCGTCCTATCCAGCGCCAGCCTGCCCGCCTGGTGCGAAGAACTCAACCACTCCTGCCCCTTCCTCTTCCCCTTCGACACGCGCCAACTCTACTTCAACTGCACCGCGTTCGGCGCGTCGCGCAGCATCGTGTGGCTGCAGCAGCAGCGCGACGTGTCGATGGAGCGGCAGCGCGCGCCCGGCCTGAGTCCGCGCCGCGACGAGGCGCACGAGTTCCGGGTGGGCAGGCTGAAGCACGAGCGCGTGAAGGTGCCCAGAGGGGAAAGGTTGTTGGAGTGGGCGATGCAGGTGATGCGCGTGCACGCCGAGAAGAAGTCGATTTTGGAGGTGGAGTTCGCCGGAGAGGAGGGGACAGGTATGTGAAGCAGATATACAGGGTTTCTATGAATGATCGTAACATCGTAATTGCCGTTGAAATATTTTCTCCATTTGCCGCCTTTCATTTATGGAGATTCACACATTCGAATTTAATTTCTGACATCAATCATTATACTCTCATTGCTGATAAACTCACAATTGTCAGTTTTTCGTTGAAATTTTCAAACGATTCTGTTTTCTACTTCGTGATTGTCGTGTTGAAAAGAGGGATGGCTTATTCCTCGGAGCAGAGTACATTTATTGTAATGTCTTATTGTCGAAATGGCACATTCATCAATGGTGGATGGAGTTTCTCGGTAGTAGCCTGCAAGGATGAGTACCTGGCGAAATATCCTAATGTACAGATTCAAGAATCTTCTTTGAATGCCCAAACTGGAAACGTTAATAAAAAGAAATCAACAGGAAGGCCCCAAATATCGGAAGAAGTTGTCGAAAATCTAAGGGCGCGTGTTGAACAAAATCCCCAAACGTCATTTAAGAGATTATCTTCACAATCTGGTGTGCCACTAAGTACATGCCATAAAGTGCTCAAGAAAAGATTGCATATGCACCCTTACAAGACCAGTGTACTACAGCAACTTCTGCCAATAGATTTGTCTGGAGTACTGCCAATGGTTCCAAAATAATCTCAACTATGACCAGCTATTGGACCTAACATTTTCCAGCGATGAGGCTTGGTTTCATTTGTCGGGATACGTGAATTCACAAAATTTTAGGTTTTGGAGATCTGAGAATTCCCACAATTTCATTGAGACTCCACTACATTCTCAAAAAATTAGGGTGTGGTTAGCAGTTTCTCGTAGACGAATATATGGTGAAAGGTACAGACAAGTGATGTTAGAACCATCCATCTAGAACCAACGATAAATTTATACAAACCAAGACATTTTCTGAAGCTGATTTCGTTATATAAACTAAAAATATGTTGCTTTATGCATTTTGCCAGGAATTGAAAATATCAAATTTAGCTTTTAATGAAGTCAATACAGTCCATAATTATGGGACTAGACAATTGAATTACTTGATAGCAAATACATTAAAGTCAAACATTGGCAAACAATCTGTTTTTCACAATGGAATAATTCCATACAGTTCATTACCGAATGAGTTGAAAAATATACATGATGCGAGGAGGTTTAAAATCAATCTTGAAAATTACTTGCTCAGGACAATTTGAATGAAAAATATGTGGCATGATTTGATTGCTTAGAAATGAAATATAACTTTAATCTTAAGAAACAATATTAATTCGTTTCCACTGAGTGGAATTCATTAGTTAATCCTTCATTATTATTTTTTTATATGTATTCATGTATCCCTATCATAAACAGCAATGTTTCTTGGGGTGATAAAGACAATCAATCAATCAACTCTATTCCTGCACTGCTCATTTTCTGACGAAATTACATACACTGAAAAGAATCATTTTTATCAAAAATAATTCTAATATACCGGTGCGGCATCGAACACTAAAAACCGATATATCTCGAAAACGGCTTACTTTAGTGATGTTTCACAAGCGAGTCTTTTCTGCTTCGAAATATTCATAAAATTATTCCTCAACAAGCAATTCAAAAACTACCTTAAGAAGAAAGTTATTGCAATTCTAAACCATAAGAAGTGCATTGGTCAGGTTGGTTGGTCAGGTCACTTAAAAGGTTCATATTCGGGTTCCGCATCCCAAAAAGCCCTCTGCTACCAATTCTTGGAGTAATACGTTCAAAATTGTTTATACATTTTGAAAAATTCTATATTTATTTTTTGACCACCACCCTGTATCTCGGAAATAGAGCAATTTCGGACCGAGGTAAGTTACTTCAAATCGGTTTATTTTGTTGAATTTCTAGTTTGAATGATTCCTACTGCGATTTGATGATCCATAATTTGGATGCTTTCTCGATTTCTCCCACTCCTAGTGTGGTCTCTCGAATTTCGGCAAGCAAAACTGTTTTACTTGACCTAACTAAACTCGTCCATTTGTAAAATCTTGAAATTTCTGGTAGAAGAGTAATCAACTCGATGTCATTGTGAACTAACACTGTCTACTCTTCTATACCAATTTGTTTATTATGTGGTTCCATGTGCCAAAAATGTCTTCCTTGCTTCAAGAACTCAGGTCCGTTGATCCATCAACTATCAAAAGATAAATTCAGACTTTCATTTATTTGGTTGCTTGATCAGCGACATCCGGCTCGAAAGACCAATTTAAATGTATGTATAGGTCGCGTGCACGATGATCGACCCTGGAGGTGAAATATCGAAACACAACCTCACTCTTCTGTAAAACATTGAAATACAACCTCACTTTTCTTATTTGTTAACAAAGAAATCAAAGAATTGAAATAGTTTTTCACAATATTTTGGCATACGAATCGTGTTTTTTGGGCTATTCATCAATTCAAGCATGCCATCACATTTTGCTGTTGTACAATGCACAAAAAATGCAGTAAGAGACGAAGGAATATGTTTTTTCAGGTAAATAGTGATCTCACATAGTTCTCATTATGATATTCTGTCATTTCTCATTAGAATTCTCTTTGCCAACTCTGCAATAGAAGCTACTGCTAATAGAGTTGAAATATCTAGAACACATACGATCATATTTCGTCAGCATATCAGACCAGTCCTCTCGTTGTATTCTTTTTGAAACTTCACGAGTATTTCTATCATCTCCGATTGCAGAAAGAATTCCAACGAGAAATGACAAAATTTCAAAATGAAAAGTATATGTGAGTGACTAGAGTAATTTTAAATCATAATGTACGAACCTGAAAAATCGGATTACTTCGTCTCTCGCTGCAGTCGCTGCATTTTTTGTGCATTTTACAATAGGACAATGTGATGGCATTCTTGAATTAATGAATAGCAGAGAGATACGATTCCTATGCCAAATTAATTGTGAAAAACTATTTCAATCTTTTGTAAACATATTAGAAAAGTAGGGTTGTGTGTCAATGTTTTGCCTCCAGGGTCGGTCATCTGACAGATCTTGCACGCAACCCATTTTAGGTAGATTATCGATGACAAATCCAGAATAAATTATTGACAACCAACTTCAAAATATGTCAATTGAATAACAATTAAACATCTATCTCCACACTGGGTGTATACATTAATGGACTTCACAATTCACAAGGGTCTTCCAGAATAGATCAGCGGAAGTCGCAGTGGATCATGCCAAAAAGTCAACCTCTGAACTTGATCATCTATTATCTATTGCAGGATTGGGCCCCACTCTCGAGTTCTACGCTCTAGTCGCCGCCGAGCTGCAGCGACGCGACCTCGGCATGTGGATATGCGACGACGAGCAGATACCGCTCAACGAGCCCGTCGACCTTGGCGAGGGCGTTAAGCCGCCCGGCTATTACGTCCTCAGGTCGTCCGGCCTGTTCCCCGCCCCGCTGCCCCAGCAATCCGAGATTTGCGACAAGGCGGTCAGATACTTTCACTTTTTGGGCATACTGCTGGCCAAGATCCTGCAGGTAGGGACGCGAAATATCGTATTTTAGTATTCGAGTCATGTTGAATCGAAAATGTTCCCATTTTTATGAATCTATATTTGTTTTTGCCCTTTGATTCGTTGATAATGACAAGGAATATCAGTCGGATATCTTCACCACCGAGGTGTATTTACTTGATTTTAATACACCTAAAATGTGGACATAGCCTGTTCCTCGTCCAGCGTATTTCGTGTCGTATAGAATCGAAACTGGGTATTGACCAAAGACATCGAAAATGTTTCATTCATAAAACGCTCTGAAAGCCGATCTGTTATTGCTTGGATGTATGCAACGATATCGTTAGGGACAACTTGGTGCCTAAGTTTATTAAATCAACAAACAATAATATAACCTTACATACCGTTGAAAAGTCGAATTTGTATTCAGATGATCCCCCATTTTGCATACAATTCACGAATGCACCGGGATTCACAAAATATTGTTCACAAAACTGATGAAAAAGTGAAAATGCTAAAATAACGCAAATGAATCACGACGAAACACTTGTCAGAGGCGATTAGACAATCTCGTAATAAATATACTCATTCAGGAGACGCAGATCTTACGTATAATCATTGTTTTGTGTTGAATATTAAAAAAAAATCGTACAGTCTGGCAAATATACAACTGATGAATAATAAAGGATCAAACGATGACTTATCGGGCAAAAACGTGAATAATAAGCTCTTTGGTAATAACTAGAGTCCCTGTATGTATTTGACACTTTTGCTGTAATAAGAGTACGGACACTATGACAAGCAGTGACAGAAGGCATAACCCTAAAAAATTTGAAATGACATGAACAATTTGGCTGGCACTGACAGTTCATGAACGTACATGACATTAAATTATTTGAAAATTCAGGTTTTCAAAAATTAAAATGTCTAATTGTGTAGTGGAGAATTGCAAAAATGGAAGCGAGTCCTTTCATTTATTCCATTTCCCCCATTCTAACCAACAAGTACATATACCTTTTGTTAAGTATATCGAGAAATACTTTCAACAAATTGATTTACAAACTATGACCCCTTTTCGCCAGTGAGATGAGACGCCACTTTTTTATGAAAATAAAGACAGAGAAAGATATATGGATGTACCCTTCACCGCGGCAGTAGAGGATAGAAGATCCGAAGTGCATGGAAAAGCATATCCATGTCTTTGTTCAAAAGTCATTTTGAGAATTTGGGGTTATGCCTTCCGTCACTGCTTGTCATAGTGTCCGTACTCTTATTACAACAAAACTGACAAATATATACAGGGAATTATACATACAGGGACTCTAGTAATGACGTGAGGGTGAGGGTTTATTTCATTTATGAATCTATATTTGTTTTGGCCCTATGATTCGGTGAGGATGACAAGGAATCTCAGTCGGATATCTTCACCACCGAGGTGTATTCACTTAGTTTTAATACACCTAAAAAATGTGGACATAATGGTCTTGATTGTTTTTGAACACTTGACATACACAGATCGGCCAGACTGTTCCTCGTCCCGCGTATTTCGTGTCGTGTAGAATCGAAACTGGGTATTGACCAAATACATTGAAAAAATGTCATTGATAAAACGCTCTGAAAGCCGATCTGTTATTGTTTGGATGTATGCAACGAGATCGTGAGGCACACCGGTGGCAACAATGCATGTTTGATGATGTTTGATTCCTAAGTTTATTAAATCAACAAACTATAATATAACATTTTGCTTACAATTCACGAATGCACCGGGATTCACAAAATATTGGTCACAAAAATGACAAAAAAGTGAAAAGGCTAAAATAACGCAAATGAATCACGACGAAACACTCGTCAGCGGCGATTAGACAATCAAGAAATTGTGGCATTTAACACCTACGGCGTTGCTTAAAGTGCTGATTTCTCTGATGAAAAGTGATTATGACGGGTTGAATTCATTAAAGTGATATAGAATGGGGATGATAATATGAAACAAATGTGCTTTAGTACAGTATAATCATTGTTTTGTGTTGAATATTCAAAAACTCGTACAGTCTGGCAAATATACAATTGATGGAAAAGAGAGGATCAAACGATGACTTATCGGGCAAAAACGTGAATAATAAGATCTTTGGTAATAACTCGTCGACCTGGGCAAGGGTGTCAAGCTTCCCGGCTATTACGTCCTCAGGTCGTCCGGCCTGTTCCCCGCCCCGCTGCCCCAGCAATCCGAGATTTGCGACAAGATAATTTCACTTTTTGGGCATACTGCCGGCCAAGATCCTGCAGGTAGGGACGCGAAATATCGTATTTAAGTATTTCATTTATGGATCTATATTTGTTTTGGCCCTATGATTCGTTGAGGATGACAAGGAATCTCAGTCGTATATCTTCACCACCGAGGTGTATTCACTTAGTTTTAATACACCTAAAATGTGGACACAATGGTCTTGATTGTTTTTGAACACTTGACATACACAGATCGGCCAGACTGTTCCTCGTCCCGCGTATTTCGTGTCGTGTAGAATCGAAACTGGGTATTGACCAAATACATTGAAAAAATGCCATTGATAAAACGCTCTGAAAGCCGATCTGTTATTGTTTGGATGTATGCAACGAGATCGTGAGGCACACCGGTGGCAACAATGCATGTTTGATGATGTTTGATTCCTAAGTTTATCAAATCAACAAACTATAATATAACATTTTGCATACAATTCACGAATGCACCGGGATTCACAAAATATCGCTCACAAAAACTGACAAAAAAGTGAAAAGGCTAAAATAACGCAAAAGAATCACGACGAAACACTCGTCAGCGTGAAGAAATTGTGGCATGTAACACCTACGGCGTTGCTTAAAGCGCTGATTTCTCTGATGAAAAGTAATTATGACAGGTTGATTTCATTAAAGTGATATAGAATGGGAATGATAATATGAAACAAATATGTTCAAACGATGACTCATCGAGCAAAAACGTGAAGAATTTCGACTGATATTCCTCGTCAATCAATCGAAACTCGGTATTTACCAAAGACATGTAAACATGGAAGACAAAATGTTTCATTGATAAAACGCTCTGAAAGCCGATCAGTTATTGCTTGGATGCATGTAACGGGTTCGTGAGGGACAACTGTACGTCGGTGGCAACAATGCATGTTTGATGATGTTTGGTGCCTATGTCTATTAAACAACCAACTATAACATAACCTTACATACCGGTGAAAAGTCAAATTTGTATTCAGATGATCCACCCTTTTGCATACAGTACACGATTGCACAGGGATTCAGAAAATATTGTACACAAAACTCACAATAAAGTGAAGAGGCTAAAATACCGCAAATGAATCACGACGAAACACTGGTCAGCATGTTTCGTAATAAATAGACTCATCCAGGAGACATAAATCTTGTAGATGTTGTGGAATGTAACACCTGCGGCGTTGCCTAAGAATGCTAATTTGTCTGGAGAAAAACTGATTATGACAGGTTGGTTTAATTAAAATGTACAGTTTTATCATTGTTTTGCGTTGAATCATTATTCATTCCATTCATAACCCATTTAAAAAATCATATAGTCCTACAAATATGCAATTGAAGGAAAAGAGAAGTATCAAACGATGACTGAAAACTTAAATAATAAGGTCATGTCCTTGTCAAACTTGATTAAAAGCAGCATTCGAGTTTTTGGTTCGGTTTTAAATAAGCACAATGTCACTTTTCAAACGTTAATATTCCGAAAACTATTGAATTCAAGAGTAAAGTGTATTGATAAAACTGTTGAAAAGTATGAGAAGATTCCATTTAAAAAACATAACTGGGTTAAATCTAAATAATAACAGCTCATTTTGAAAATCTGACAACGCCACTGGATTCTACGTGAAGGAATGTGTAAGTGAGAGCTTCTACTTTTCCTATAAGTTGAAAGATAGCTGAGATACAAGTGGTCCGATTCACTAAGAGCGTGGTTATTTCAAGAACTGTCATTCGGGTGGTTAATATGAAGGTCAGTGGTTATTTGAACCACTTAGAAATTTTCTGATTCTCTAAGGCATAGATGGATAATAAATTAACAGCTTGTCATGTTTTTTTTCTACTTTTTATAGAGGCAGATATCCACCAACTTTTTCTGGTGATTTGTGGAGTGGCAAAGGTTTTTAATGAAAAAATGTAGTGGTACTATTTCAAGGAAATGTTGTTCATCTGTTGATGCTAGATATTGCAAAAGAGGAAATTCTACGACAAGAAAGTATTAAATACCTACCAAATTATTTGTGGAAACAAAACAAATTAAATCTATCACATGCCAAAAGTATTGGTTTCAGAGGTTTTGATACCATTAATAGAACCACAGATGGAAGACGTTGGTGGGCTACTGTTATTTTACTACATGTTAAAATAATTCTCAGTTGAGTTTTTGTAATATATCAGTATAGAGAGTACCCAGAGAATATATTCAGATACTTGCTGCTTTACATTTAATTGCACGAGGATGCTATCAGGGGTATTGATTCTAATTTAGCAATGTCCCAACCTAGTACTTGTAGATTATATCAATTGTTAGGTTAATAATAAACGTTAAATAGGCAGAAATATAGCAATAATCAACGAAATAGTAGATGAATGACTAACTCCACAGCTTTATTTATACCACTGAGTGGAAATATAAAAAACTAACCCTATTTATGAATGCTGTTTTCATAGAATACGAAATATCAATAGTGGAAAACTTGGGGTGATTAAAAAAGTTTTAGTAACAACGTTACTAATTTAGCCACCCTTTTAAACACTTCTTAGAGAATCGGACCGAAGGGGTCCCAAAATTTAACATTTTCAATTCGCCCTGTATCTCAAAAACGAAGCTGGCTATGAAAATTTTGTTCGCGGTTTTACGAGTTTCACAAAAAAGTAGCCAACTCTCGCGAAAATAAGTGAGATATCCCGTAAGGTCATCGAAAATGGGACAGCCTGTACAATCGAAACTATTCTCCCAAGGAGACCAACAAAACTGTTGACATTGTTCTTGTTTCTCTGTTTTTTTTTCCAATGAATTCAATAACAAACTTGTGAGTACTACTGCTGTATTGGCCCTAATTGAAGGAAGCGTTCAAGTTATGTTTGATGATGTAAATATCAACGTTACCTAGTCACATTTCTTCATTCCTAACCCTTCAGGACAACCGCCTCATCGACCTGCCGCTCAGCAAGAGCTTCCTCAAGCTGATGTGCCACGGCGACATCCGCAACACGGTCAACGAGCGGATCGGCTTCGCCGGCGCGAAGAAGACCGTCGAGGAGGACGTGATGACGTCGAGCCTGATCTCCGAGGAGAGCGAGAAGGAGCTGGAGCTGGACCCGCCCAAGCCGGCGGCCGAGGAGAAGCGGCCTTGGTACGGCGGGATATTGGGCGAGGAGGATCTGTACGACATCGATCCGATACGAGCGAAGTTTCTGAGGCAGATCCACGAGCTGATTAAGCAGGTGGGTGAAGTAGGGGTTTTGTTTTGAAGTTGTTGTTGTTCTTTATTACCCCAAGAACCATATTTGTTTATGATAGGGATACATAAACATATGATATATACAAGGTGTCCCATAAGTAATGACTTGCATTCTCCAAACACCAGTAACATGTCCACTTTTTTCTCATTGCTGAATTGAACCATTTTCATATAACTATTGTTAGTTTTGTTTGAATCGAACAAATCAGAATATTTCTTATTACAAAATGTGACACTATCTCTGACACAGTACTGACAACATCTGTCGCTTGTAATGGGGGAGACCACTGATTTTTTGAAACGACATTATCGTGAACACTATACCGAAAAACTACCAGTGAATTAATTTTGAATTTTTTCATTCATGCTAAGACGATGAAAAAAATAAATTAGAATATGTCCATTTCTAAACCCACAATTCCTGCGCCATTTGAAATTTTGTCAATTCATTGGTGAGACTGGTGGGACGTCTCAGTCCCAACACGCCTATTATCCTTGAACTCACCAATCACACTGCAACACTGCAGAATGACGAGGTATCAGAGAGAGATAGCTACAGTGCGGGACTAATACGTCACAGCTCCACCATCATATTTGGCTTTTCTAAATAACGAATGAAATATGCTGATTTCAAAACGATATTGATTCGATTCCCTTCAACTTCAACTCCAAATATTGATTGTAGATCAATTGTAAATCATGATTCGTCGATTGAAAGAGGTTTGCACGGATTTCGTCCCTCAGTGGTCTTCCCCATTGCACTAAAAACAATTGTGATAACAATGATGCCATAGTAACTAATATTCATGGCATTCTTGTAAAAATCATCCAAAATCGCATTTTTTGTCAATCAAGAAATATTTACTATAAACTGGTATAACTCAGAAATGAGTACGATGAATTAGTTCGAGTAAATAACAAAAAAGTAAATAACATGTACTTTTGCGTGCGTGTAATTTCAAAGTCACTGCAATCGATTTATATTTTCGACTCGTCACGACGCTCAGCTCCTAGTAGGCGTTGAATTTTTTATACTTTGAAAAAAATCGACTTGACCCCCCCCCCCCCCATTGACTACTCTTTACAGAAATCAAATATTCCTATTCGTTTTCGAGATATTGGCGTGCGGAGTTTTAAGTGAAAAACCCTGTATAAAGGATGCCATTTGAAAAAGAAAGTTGGGTCTACTTCCGATCAAACAGGTGGTTGAAGGAAGAAAATTGTCATTGGGTTCAAAGGGAGCGCCATCATCGATAATATAACCCCTGTGAATTTCAAATTTTTATCTCATCAAATGAAAAAACTACAGGCTGTTACATGTCTCCTGTGTCACCCGGTATATTGTACATACAATAATGATGAATTTATACTCAATGTACAGGGTGATTCACCATAAATGTACCCCCCTCTAGCTCAGTTATTTTTGAACCGATTTCAAAATTTGAAATATAATCTTGAATGATTTTCGATAAAGTTTTTTTTCGCTACATCAGAAAATACAGGGTGCTCGGAACAATCGATCTACAGGGTACTATTTGATTTTTTCATATGGAACACCCTATTTTTCATTGTATTTTTAGATTCTCCCTGAAGAGCTGATTTGGTCGATGTATCACACTTGGGGTCAAGCAGGAATGATTACAGAGATATAGGGTGTTCAAAATCGAGATTTTTCAACTTTAGGATTTTTTTGAGACGAAACTATTCATCATCGGTCAAAACGGCCTTCATGTCCATATCTCAACTTTTGATTCACTATCTACTGACATTTAATAATTGGAACAGATACAGAGTGATCAGAATTCAGAATCTTGAACCACCCTGTCAATGTTCCAATTAAATGTCAGTAGACAGTAAATCAAAAGTTAAGATGGAAACATAGAAGCCGTTTCGACCAATAATGGATAGTTTCCAGACAAACAAATCCTAAACTTGAAAAATCTCGATTTTGAACATCCTATATCTCTGTAATCATTCCCGCTTGACCCCAAGTGTGATGCATTGATGAAATCAGCTCTTCAGGGAGAATCTATAAATACAATGAAATACAGGGTGTTCCATTTGAAAAAATCAAGTAGTACTCTGTAGATCGTTTGTTCCGAGCACCCTGTATTTTCTGATGCAACGGGAAAAAATTCTGAAAAATCATTTTAGATTATCTTTCAAATTTTTGAATCGATTCAAAAATAAGTGAGCTAGATGGGGGGACATTTATGGTGAATCACCCTGTACAATCACTGTGCAACACAGGCTGAAGGACCTCGGTCGGTGGCCTTTTCGGTATCCAATAAAGCTCCTTAATTATTATTATTATTGTTCTCATTATTGTAGAAACAAAAGATCCTGCAAGACCACAGCCTGACGCCCGAGGCGCGCTCCCACCAGGTGCAGAACCTCTGCCTCAGCCATCCGTCCGGTCCCGTGCTGCTCGAGGACCTCGCGCTCGCCTTCACCTACTCGCCCGGCTCGAGCGTGTTCGGCTTCGCGTCGGTGGAACTCGTCAACAACGGCGCCGACATCGAGGTGGACATCGAGAACGTCGAGGAGTATGCCGAGCTGACGAACGCCTTCTGTTTGGAGAACGGTACGTGCTCAAGGCTTAAGATTAAAAATAACGAAAGATAGACACCGCATAAATCATTGAAAAGTATACGCCAACACAACAAACACGGATGAATGAATTGAATCGCGAATGGTGGGAGTAACTCTACGGAATTGTCGCCACAGAATTTATAGATATTTTGTACATCTCTGAAGAAATCGTTCTCTCCTATCTATTGCAGCTAAACACAAATTCGTCACCCGAACCTTCCTTGTTGAAAAATTGTGCACATGACTCATGACATGAGCTAGCCTTACCCCTCTCCATCATGTTCAATAATAGCCTTCAAGCCAATGAGTTACCTGAATCATAGACCTCAACCAATATAACGGCAATATTCAAAAAAGGGATCAAACTTCTTTCCTGGGAATTAATGCCCAATTAATACAACCAGCGTCCCAAGAAAATTTTTGGAGCGTATCATGGCTGAAGAAATGATAGAAGTCGCATCCAGGAACAATCAGTTACATCCAACATGCTACTCGCCACAGACTATTGTACAAGAATTCTTGACAATGGGCTGCCCATGGATGCAGTCTATTTTGACAGCAGAGCGATAGGTACCTCATGATCTGCTCATCAGGAAATTGGACCACTTTGGAATTCGGGGTAATCTACTGAGATGGATAGTCATTTCTGAGCAGCTCATATTTCTCCGTTAGAGTTGGTGACCAATTATCAACCAGAAACAAGGTAACCAGTGGAGTAATTCAAGGATCTGTGCTCTGTCCGACTCTGTTTCTACTCTACATCAGCGATCTCGCAAGAGAAATATCATCATTCGCACTTTTCTTCGCAGACGATCTGAAAATTTTCAACCAAGTCACCAATAACAGAACAATCATTAAATACGGCGAAGTGTATGGTGCTGCATATGGGTAGCAATTATCCCAGAATAAGGTACACCCTCAGCAATTCGGATTTGCCTGTAGTGGACGAACAAATCGCTCTCGGAGTGACAATCACCAGCAATATGGGTTGGTCCCAACACGTCAACAAAATAGTGAAATGATCAAATAGTGCGTTATACCATATCAGCAAACTTTTCATAATCCTTCCCCTACACTTATGTGTAATCTGTGTAAGTCTTATGTCAGACTTCACCTGGAATTTGCTGCTGCTGTCTGGTCACCGTGGTTGATTCGCGATATCAAATTAATCGAGGATGTCCAACGCCGTGCCACTAAATTCATCAACGGACTGAATCAAAAATCGTATGCCGATCGCCTGCGACATCTAAACCTGCCTACCCATTACTGGAGACGGACTCGAGGCGATCTGATCGAAATTTATAAAATCCTAACAAATAGGTACACAGTAGACTTATCTAGCATGTTCGAAGTGAATGAGAGTGACAGGTTGCGCGGTCATCCATACAAACTGAAACGCGAAAGATTTAGAAAATGTGTGCGCGAATACACAGTATTCAACAGATCCTTCCAGCTCTGGAACAGTTTGCCCGCTAGCATAGTCTCAGCACCATCTCTGAATGCTTTCAAGAATTCGTTGAACAAACATTATAATGATAATCCACACATATTTCCCCAACATTTCCTACTCATGTGAATTCTATGACAGGTTCATGTAGCTGAGTCAATCCTTATTAGTTATTATTTTAGAATTAAGCAATAACTTTCATGATTATGTGTTTATGTATATCTTTAGTATAAAGAGTTTATAAGCTTCTAGCTCCTACTCCTGTGAGTTTATAAATAAATAAATATATAAAGAGGGAAGACATAACATTCCATTCATAAAACATTATTTGTTCACAATCATACATACTTCAAAATTTTCAATTATTTGTTCACAATCATACATACTTCAAAATTTTCAAATAAGTTAGAAAGAGATGGCTTCAAAAAGTGGCAACGCTGTGAACTGTACATAAATGATAACACTTTCTTCACCAGTCGCGAAGGTTAAGCGAGGTGCAAGACAATTTCACTAAAATGACAACGCTATTATGCCTATTAGAAAACGTTTGGGTCTGATCTTTGATTTTTAATACCAAATATACATCGTACCTTGGCTACACATTTACCTAATTTTAATCCATTATTCAGCGGAATTGGAACAAAAGAAACGTTTCTTGCAATAAATTAGTTGAATAACCTGCGACAACTACACCACTGCTCAAGTTAAAAGAAACATAAATTACCTTAATTACCGTTGAAATGCCATTTTGCGGTTAGAATGGTGAACTTTTTCACATAGAATTTTGTCTACTCGTCCAAAAAACAGAATTTTCCGGGCTTGTTACGTAAATTACTATTAATAATCATTGTCTTTATATAGTTTCATAACAAGAAAACACTGATAGTCAATTGAAACACAAAAAGTACTAAAATGCTAACAAACATAGCCAGCTCAACAACACTGTAACGTGGGAATTTGACATATGTGAATGACTAAGAAAAATATGAGTAACTCGTAGTAATATGTTATGTTCAGATATATACAGTCTAGCCTCGGCTAAAGTAGATCTGAACATAAAAAAAAAACAAGAAAAAAATGAAGCTGTTAATCATCATAGGAATCCATATCAATTACTCATTTGTTTTTTATTTATTCTTTGAATTATTTCAATAGCAGAATTCACATAACTAAATGAAGAAACAAAACATACAGAATAAATGTACATAATAGTATATTATGTAACAAGTGTTATAAACGTCCTTTTAGTAACGAGTATTTTAAGCACGAGCGGAGCAGAGCGGAGCGAGTGTTTAATAAACGAGTGCCTAGAAGAGTTTATAAACGCGTTACATACTATGATTTTTCTACGAACTCCGAAAATTACATTAACATACCTGCTATTCCTGCTAACCTACGAATCATTTCGAAAGGAATGGGAATTGAGAACATAATACATGCAACTGCATGCAACCAGCGAGACACGACGTATAAGAGATATCGGTTGTAGATGTGTCCAGTCCATTGCTTACTAACCTTTGTTTCACGTGTATTGTCATGCTTAGCGCAGAATAAATAAATTGTTCTCAAAGATGGATGCTTCATTTTGACACTTCTTGAAGATATGCAAGTACCAGAACATTCTCTTCGATTTCACTTTCGTCTACTTTTCGCATATATTTAATGAAGAATTCTGATACAAACGAATATTGTTTGAATAATTCTGATACAAAATTTGAAAATAACAGTTAATACAATGGATAGGCCAGACATGTCTCAAATTACCGAAGCTGTGTTTAATGAACTGCGTTGCCATGGTAATGTGTTTAAGAAATCTTGTTGCCATGGTAACGTGTTTAATATTTCGAATAAATCACAGATCGACAATCCGTGATTAATCGATCATTTAGCGTGGTACCTATCCGTACGCTAAATGCCATTTTAGTTATGTGAGTAGAAAAAAATGTATATTATATAATTAATGCATGATTAATGCATCCCTCGTTTTCAAACACAAGCGGTAGATCTAAGGCAATCCCGAGAAATTTGTCATCATCGTTTTGTGCTCAAAACGATTTTGGATCGGGAAAAAAATGTGAACAGTTTAATCTCCCCTCTTTTTATATGTCTATGGGTGCGCTGTATTGGCCCAAATTTCGATTCACCCACATTTCGATAGGCCCACAGTCTCCGAACATACCCGAAGGATGCACTGTTGCCAAATGTAGGTGTTTTGATAGGCTCACTAATGGCTGATACAAGCGTCTAGCTATACCATATTCCTCTATGGCTCTCTGAATTCCAAAGATGTAATGATTACTCAGAAAGGAAATGTTATAACTTTCATCTCAAGAATAGTATATTGTTTAGCGAGCATGGAATGATAATGATTTCCTACGAGAATGAAGTTTGCAGCATGAGCCATAGGCAAATGCTGCAATCATTCAAATAGGAAATTTGCATTCCGTGCAAGTTATACACTATAATTTTTCTACGTCTGTAACAGATAACAGCGGCATTTTCGATTTCTTCGTCTTGTAGCAATCTGATTTCCTGTCAAGTAATGCTCATCTATCAGACAGAGCTGTCATTGCTTCACATTTGACATTCCATGAGCGATGAGATTTTTTTTAAATAATAACACAATGGAGTCATTGTGATATCAGATACGGAAATAATGTTGATGACATACAAAGTACCTCATTGACGTATCGAACACAGTAAAACAAGAGCAATTTTGTGTTATAGCCGTATAAAAATAATATTAATTCGTTAAATTGTCAATTCATTGATTAACCCTTTATTATATTTTTTATGTATTCATGTTATCATGAACAGAAATGTTTCTTGGGGTAATAAAGTCAATCAAAATCAAATCAGATCAAAATCAAAAATTAATATAATTAATAAGCGCTTTTTTGGTTGCGCTTTTCTTCTTCTCATTATTTGAAGGTTGGCAAAATTAAATTATTCCATTACCCGTCACTGAATTTATCTCTGCCCTTGGGTTGGGCCACTACCCTAACCAGTGTGAAATCAATGAGTGAATTGATTTTTAATTGATATATTTAATTCGTTTATAGGTATTGCGCGACAGTTGGAAGCGTTTCATAAGGGCTTCTGTAGGGTGTTTCCAATGGAGAAGTTGGCTGCGTTCAGTCCCGACGAGTTGTGCGTGATGCTGTGCGGGGACCAGAACCCCGATTGGACAATGGATGATCTCATTAATTATACGGAGCCGAAGCTCGGTTACACAAAAGACAGGTGAGAGTTGTGCTAGAGATAACCAGTATAACCAGTGTTATGAGAAACCGTTTTTCAACTTCATCAATCCTCAATCTATTCCAAAAGTTAACCAATCTAGAGATTATAACCACAGTATAGACCCTTACGGAAACCAGTAATTTAACTTCTGTTGGAACGTCTGTTGTTGGCGTCCAAAAGTATTATTTTTTGCCAGACCAGTGCGCATACTACCACGCACAGACAGCCAATGACAAGCCAATGACGACTCGCTCGTCATCACTGAGGAATGCTGTGAAGTCCCTGAATTGTATGTGAACAGGTCCGGCTTTAGATAAATAAATAATAAACATTGAAATTCAGATTGAAAAAATACTGATTTCAATTTTTTTTTCTAATGAACATACTGAGAATCGAGAGGGGGTTAAAATATAATCAGATTGAAAATATTCTTGATGATATGTTTGACTTCACATTACAGTTCAACCACAACATTTGTGGTTCAACTGACAATAAACATTATATCTGTCAGTGAAGATTAATGACTTGATTGTTTTTCATTCTTCATTTAGAGAAAAGAGTGGAAATATAACCAAACTTCAAATATTCATGACATTTTTCATTTCACAATTGAATTCAATGAGTTCAATTTACAATAAGTAGCAAAATATATAGAATTTTAGGTATAAAAAACCATATTGCAGTTATGAAAACCATAAATAGGTATGTTTTTGATACCTCATGAATAAATAACCTAATAAATATATGTTTTTTATACCTTATTTGTTATTGGTACATAATAAGATTACATATGACCAGATCAAGGATTTTACATGTCAATATTAATATTTTATAAACATATCTTAAGCAGAATTTTCATATGCTCTAGAATGTGAATAAATTCCTTTATTAACCAGTTTTGTTCCTGACTGCATAGGCTTCACATTAATTACAAGTATGTTGCTGCATACATTCTTCAAACAAATACCCACAATACTCACCAACAGTAGAATGAATCATAAAGGCATGAAAATCAAAGAAGTGTATATAAAACATCTGCCCTGCTAGCTGAGCTACTGCGCATACTAGCCACGAGTGGACATGCGCACTGCGATTTTTAGGACACGAATAGTGCTGACTGAAATGACTGTTTTCCGTAAGGGTCCATACTGTGTTATATGTCGGGAATAAATGGTGGAAATTTGCTAATGGGATAATCTGTGTCCGATGATATAAAATATAGATGGCAGCTGCGTTTTTATTGAGGTTATGTTATTTATTTATTTATTTATTGAAAATGTGACTTCCAGTCAGAATCAAGTTCTGGTATAAGGAAGTGTAGTTAACAATAATACCTAAAACTATACAATTATAAATAATATAATATTTGAATACATTAAGTATTAAATTTTGACAAATCATTTCATATTGGTGAGCAGCAACAATCAATTTGAATATGAATCAAAAGCTGAAAAAAAAATCATCTATTTCGTTCAGAAATGATAAATTTTTCAGATTGGTATATGACTTTTATTGTATTTCTGAAAATTTTCATATTATCTGGTAATTTTTATATTCGAAAAGAGCAGCGTAGGTGAATCTTTTTTGGCCTATAGAAGAATCAGCGATATCAAGATGAAACAAACCATGTTGTCTAGTTTGGCAATCATGAATTTTATTGTTTTGTGTTAAAATAAAATTGGATTTCAATCTTTTATTTATGATATTGTATGTAATTTCCATATTTTCAATTTTGAACATTTCTTCTAATGAGAATGCAGTTATTTTATATAATTGATTTGTTGGTATATTATATGGTAAACAATACAGTACTTTCAATGTCTTTTTAGATAATGCAGATATTTTATCGAAATTGTATATTGAACAGTATCCCCAAACATTTATCAAATAGTTAATACAACTGAGTATATGAGAATATAGAATTATATTTGCAACTTTTTTATCCAGCTTGGGTCATCTTCTCAGGGCTCCAATGATGGGTTATTTTCTTCGTCAAAACATTTATATGTTTGTCCCACTTTAATTTATCATCAAATCGAATCCCAAAAGATAACTTTTCTCGTTAGTATGTTTCAAAGATTCATTTTCAATTCTGAGATTCAAATTCATATTTTGGTCATTTATTTGTTGAAGAATCATGTATTCAGTTTTATCAGTATTTATTGCTAAAAGGTTTGAATGCAGCCATTTTTCAATTTTCATCAAGTCTGTTTATTATATTTTCTAAAATTATAGGATTTTTATTTTCATATAAAAGTACCGCATCGTCTGCATAAATAGTGTAATTACTTTCTGTTTCAATTTTCGTGATATTTTGAATATATAATAAATATAAGATTGGTCCTAAAACAGATCCTTGAGGGACACCTTTAGTCATCGGTAGTCTATGAGACTCTGAGTTAGTAGATTTGGTACTGATTGTCCTATTTTGAAGATACGAATTTAAAAGGATCCTTATCATGCCTCTAAGTCCAATTGATTCTAAATTTTCCAAAAGTGTTATGTGGTACTGTATCGAAAGCTTTTTTGAGATCGACAAAAATTGCTATCACATGATTTCCGGTATCAAGTCCTTTTTGTATTGCTTGTATTATTGTCAGAACATGGCAAAATGGCGGCCATGACGGCACGATTGGATTGCGCTTTGAAATTCAACAATTTCAAACAACACTTGAGACACATTATTTACATCGAAAACGCGTAAAAATTGCTGCAAAAATTAATTCAGGTCCCTATCGACACAGTGGAGTGGAATGCCAATGAGGGGTAAGATTATATATTGTCCACCAAACCGTAACATGAGGTCAGGATTGGTGGAACTGAAAAATATACTTCTTATTCTCGTGTCATCTGGCCTTCTGCTATGATATCGTCTTCTCCGTCAATGTGAATTGGTCGTAAAGTTCCACAATGTGAGTAGCGCCAACTGGTGAGAGTGAAAATGTCCCTCATTATCCACTATCAGTCCACTACACCCTTTTCAATTGTAATTCTGAAAGTATAACTTGAAATTCAGATTAGTTAATTGTAATTCAGAAAGCGTAATATGTAATTCAGATTAGTGAATAGTAATTCAGAAAGTGAAACTTGTAATTCAGAATAGTGAGATGTAATTCAGAAACCGTCAATTGTAATTCAGAAAGCATCACTTGTAATTCAGAAAGTATCACTTATGATTCGGAAACTAGGAACTAGGGTGTTGGAGAACAACGACTTACTTATCCACATAGAACAGAATATTCACCAGGCCAGAGATACAATTGTCGGAGGTGATTGTGCTAGGGCTGCACAACACACCATCATTCACCATACTGCAGCTCTGGCATTTCAAGATATGCCCGTTGGTCGATAAATATAAAATATTGATGTTCACCACACAATAAACCATTCGTTGATTCCTTTTCCCTACCCTTATTTAAGTCCATAGTATTTATTAATTGCAAGTGATGCTCTCTAAATTACAAATTATGCTTTATGAATTACAATTGACTATTCTGAATTACAAATTACACTTTCTGACTTACATTTTACTAATCTGAAATAAAAGTTACACTTTCTGAATAACAGTTGAAAAAGGTGTAGCCCTTGCTATGCTTTTAGCCCATTTAGCACCCGCGAGAATTGAATTCAGTACACTTTGTGAAATTATCTCTGGAGCCATTTTTACCGTATAATTCAATTTCCAGCCCCGGCTTCCTGCGCTTCTGCAACGTGCTGGTGAACATGACGGCCGAGGAGCGCAAGGCCTTCCTGCAATTCACCACCGGGTGCAGCTCGCTGCCCCCAGGTGGCCTAGCTAACCTCTACCCCCGGCTGACGGTGGTGAGGAAGGTGGACGCTGGGGAGGGCTCCTACCCCTCGGTGAACACGTGCGTGCATTATTTGAAGCTGCCCGACTACCCCTCCGAGGAGGTGCTGAGACGAAGACTGCTGGCCGCGACGAAAGAGAAGGGGTTCCATCTGAATTGAAGTGACTGCGTTTGTGCATAGTAGAATATCGTGCACATTGCGTTTCGCAGTAATTTGATTTTAGTTTGTGCGCTTTTATTCGAATAAGGCTGTCGATGTGCATCTAAACTCTGTCATTTCGTTCGGTAGTACAATTCTTGTAATTTTGAATATGAAACTATTGGAGAGTACTGAGATTTTTGTATTATTTGTATTTTGGAATTATTATAGATGAATTTACAGAGCACTACTACTACTACTACTAGAAAGGTACATTTATTATGAGAGTGTTTGAAGTTATTTATGAAATGGGCATCTCTTGTTGAAAACATCGAGTTGCTGAATGGTCCCTAGTGATAATGATAATAAATAATGAGAGTTTATGACCAAATTTCGAATATACGTGATTTTATGTATGTGATTACTTTGCAATATAGATAGAATTATTTATCAGTAGTGCACTTAATGGGTATATTTGGTTTAGTTTTAATAATGTTGCTTCAAGATACTTCATGCTACATATACATCATTGAATTATATTGTAGAGAAGTATGTCTGTATGTAATTGATGTTACGTTGAATCAATAAAACTTATCTTTGATTCAGACGCGTTTTATTGTAATATGAATAAATTGTCTTGAAGATGCTTTTCTTGCAATATTTCATTTTTTAAGAAAGAACGCTATCCCGAACTATGGTTTACTTTAGGTATGTTCTTTTTCACACGACATTTTCATCATTGATGGAAGTGACGTCACTCTCTGATTCACCGAATGGGCCTCTTTCAGTGAAAAAATGTATTTCAATGTTCTAAGTCGGTATGCCATTTAAGGGACCCTCTCACTTAGTCCAAGTTAACAGGAAGGAGTGTCTCGGAGAGTCGCAAGGACTGCTCCGGCCCTGTCCTCACCTTTCGGTTGGAAAAAAGTTCAAAATTTTGTTTAAGAAGAAGCTCGGCAATGAAGTGCAATGATCTTATCTCAAGAAAATTGGGGCGCTTGCCTGTTTGCATACGCCTAGGTCACTCTCCAAGGGTGGCATACGAACCGGAAGTGGCAATTTTTCAGTGTTATAGTCAATGTTTTAAGAATGTATGCCCTTTGGCGAAACAATGAATTGGGACCCATTAATCAGTTTCCCGACATTTGCATACGATTCCGGAGTGGGGAGCTCGACTTATTCGAACGCATGTTGGTTTGCATACAATTTGCACATTCCGTACAGGGTGGTTCACCATAAATATCTCCCATTGTAACTTAGTTGTTTCTGAACCGATTTTAAAATTTCAAAAACCAATCAAAATGATTTCCCTAAGAGATTTTTCATTGTTATTAAAAAATTCACAGGCTGTTGGTAGTTGTTGATTCTTTTTCACTACAACACTAAAGTTAATTTCACTATCGAGTTGAGAGATTATCATGACGAATACAGCTCTACAGCATCCAGCGATATCATTTACACGCAGCACTCTTATAGCGATCATGCGCCAAATTGTGCCAGAAATATGAAACCCGGGTGTGAAGTATTTTCTTTTATTTGCTGAATCAATTTTCATATCTGAACGATGATTTGCTGCGTCAGCCGGGTATAGTGTAGCACGTAATGATTTAGGCATTCAATAATGTTTTTCCCTTTTATCGGAGATCCGATATTTGAATATCTCAAAAACCATTTACTTTTGTATAATGCATCTATAATCATCTCTTGATCACCCTGCGAGTATTTTGTCGTAAATTTTTTTATCATCTTTTCAAAGCCGGTTTTCAAATTAAAATCACACAAAAAAATTACTTGGTACTAAACCTCTCACACATGTAATTTTGTTGAGCTGTAAATTTCTGATGAATGAATACAAATATATCTGCAATTTGCGTCTTCGAATACCCCCATCACTCCCAGGAAGTAAATCTTTGACCCGGTTTTATGTGAAGTGAGATTATGAGACTTCCAGATTATCTAGATCGCTTTCGGTGCACCTCTGGCCTTGCAGTGCGGGGCGCCGCGCCGGACCAGGCACGCGCGGGTTTGCCCGATTATTACAACGTATGCTCACATTAAATTCGTATGCAAATAGCATCCAGTTATACAGAATATTCTAGTTTATCGGTCCAGAGATTTGCATACGAACTTATTTAAGAGATGTCTAGTCAATTGATGTTCGAATAAGTCGAGCTCCCCTCTCCGGAATCGTATGCAAATATCTGGAAACTGATTAATGGGTCCGAATTCATTGTTTCGCCAAAGGGCATACATTCTTAAAACATCGACTATAACACTGAAAAATTGCCACTTCCGGTTCGTATGCCGCCCTTGGGGAGTGACCTAGGCGTATGCAAACCGGCAAGCGCCCCAATTTTCGTGAGATAAGATCATTGCACTTCATTGCCGAGCTTCTTCTTAAACAAAATTTTGAAATTTTTTCCAACCGAAATGTGAGGTCAGGGCCGGGGCAAGGACTGGGTAGCGACTCTCCGAGGCACTCCTTCCTGTTAACTTGGGCTAAGTGAGTGGGTCCCTCAAATGGCATACCGACTTAGAACATTGATAAACCCTGTGTCGCGGGCCAACAGTCTATATTGCCATTGGTCATATTGAATCTCATAAGGTAATTACTAGTTACAAATCTGGCAGCGTCGAAACATGTGATCCTACTTTTTATGCGGAAGCCAGAACTCGGTTCATGACGTTATCAAACCTGGCGTTTTTCGAAGTCGCCGAATTTGATCATTGAAAAAAATATTTGCGATGATTTTAAATAACGAATGATTGAATCAAATACTAATTATACACGGAATGATCAATATAAAATAGGTATGTGGCGTAAATTCGTCTAGTGTCTACAACCCATTATTGGAGTCGATCAATGTTGAAAAAATCTGACATCTATTTTTTTCCATTATTTATTTTTTCGTGATTTGATGGTGATTCAGGTTGTTTTCAATTAGAAGCTTAGAATTGGCAAAATCTCATGTGAAATTGAAAATGATGTATCAACAGTGTTATTGATGGAGTCCTTGTCTCCAGATCCAGAAGTTTTAGCAATTCTCCTGATAGTTCCGAGGATGAAATATTGTTTATGTTGGGAAGTGGACGAGATAGGTTGAAAATTCTCAACAACCTATGGACAAAACATTGCAATTATGATTGATATGGATAGAATAATTGATAAGAATTATCTGTTGGTTTTCAAGTTTTCTGAATGTTTGCACTAATTTCTTGAAATTCATGATGGAAAGAAAAAAGTACCTACCACTCAGATATTTTTTAGATTTATGTTGGTGTCAATGATGCAGCTATTCTTTTATTTTCATATTCTAGACTGATTTCTATTAATTCATCCATATTTTTCCTTAGGAAAATGGCAAACAGCTTTCAAATCAAATAGTTTGTTTTTCCACCATCTCTGTACATCAGTGGAATGGGTTGCAATTTTGGTTGACACAACAGTAATAAATGAACGCGTGGTTACATTGAACTAGAATCCACCAAAGAATATATGAGCACAGTTGGTGGATTGATGGAACCACCGTGCTATAGAACATGGTTACTAACGGCAAAAATAATTTTTTTTTTAAATAATATCATGAATCAGGTTATAATTCTCTAAATCTGCTTGTATATTGAGAACATTATCAATAAACCAAGTTGCTACATGAAACTGCTGTAGGGGAAGAGGGTAAAAAATAAAATGAGATGTGTCAAATATCCAGAAACAGTGGATGAAAGTTAATAACATATGTAAGGAAAGCCAAGAAGGTGGTGGTACTGGCGTCATATCAAGTGTCAATAATTCTTTAAACTTGAAAACAAAAAATGATGAATTCAAAAAATATTACGATTTCGGGAATATTTCATTTTTCAATAAATGTTTAAACTTTTTCATGATTTAACTAAGAATGTCAGCCTATTGGATTGAACTTCATGAAGATCAATTTAAAATTAAGATTAAGCAGGGGTGGTATGCTCTTCACACTGTATATGGCCCTTCTCAAATGTACCTACAATAAATAGCTTTAAAATGATCACTCTTCTCTTTACACTGTATGGCCCTTTTTCTCTTTCTTCCACATAAATAGAAATTTGAAAATCACCTTGATACAAACTATCTCTATAATAACAAAATTTGGCCTTGAACAATCAAAACTTTCTACCGTTTTTGAAACATTAGCAACTACAGATTACACCCTAAATAAAAAAAGATCCATAATATAGTAGTACAGTTGTATTCAATAAAAAAGCGTACAAGTATTAAAGAGAGAGGATTCTGGGATCCTACTTCTAGTTGTGTTAAGCTGGTTCAGCCAATGTTTTGTGTTTTCGAGAACCTATGACAACTTTACTGTCAACATTTGGTGAACAATCATTCCCGATAGCCCGTTTTATGCAGAATAGGATGACGTTAATTTCTCTCTGTAATATACTTGTACGCTTTTTTTTCAATGCGACTGTACATATAGTAGTAGGCAAATGAAACTAAATTTGCCATTGATTTATTCAAATAATCTTAATACAATACAATACCTTCTTTTGAATCCACAAACTCATCAGGCTTCTGAAGTACATCAGGCGCCATCTTATATTTACAAAAACTAATACTCCTCTGCAAATACTCATAGCTGAGACCTGCATCATTATCTTCGGTGTAGGCATCGAAATTTTTCGAAACCTCGAACTTTGTCCATTTATAATAAACACACTTTCTAGCTCCAGAACAACTCTGTATCAGATGCAATACGGTGGGATGTGTCAGGCCGAAGAATTCGTTTCCACGTGGTCTCGTACTAACGACGTTTAGAGAGAGCGAATCATTGATACCCTGTAAGAGTAACGAATGACATACGTCAGGAGTGTCGCCAGTAATTGGTGGGCAGTTGTCATCTGAACCAATTTCGAACCTGAAAATGAACCTTTCACAGTAACGAGTCGGAAAAATTCGTTTTTTTAATTTTGAGATATAATTTGACACTATTGAACATGAAAACTGACGCAAGTTTCGAAACTTCTTACTCTAGGTATCCAGTTCTGTAAAGTAAAATATTACATAAGTAACTAGCACAAAGCCAAATAATCAAAGTGGAATGAAATGTTCACAAAGACAGAGGAACTCATAGCCACTACCACAATAGTTCATGAAATGAACGAAAATGGTAGATACATTTTTTTTAATAAAAAGCTTTTATTTAAACGCTCTAAAAAGAATCAAATATAATGTTCCTTTATAATTTTGACTATCAACTTATAACCTCATTATACACGATTTATATGATCATAAAAACTTGTCGCGATGATCAATATTCAATTGAATTGAAATTCAAAAAATTTAAACTCAGCAGATTTTACAAAATTAAATTAGTATTTATCCACAAGTAAATCGCGCGACAAGCTTTTATGATCATATAAATTGTGTATAATGAGGTTATAAGTTGATAGTCGAAATTATAAAGAAACATTTTGTTTTATTCTTTTTAGAACGTTTAAATAAAAGCTTCTTATTGATTTTTTTACTTTTTCAATTTTTAGTTATCCCTGGGTAGGGTTCTCATTCCAAATCTTCAATAATAAGGAGCCCTTCTAATGATTTTATTCTACTTAAGCCACTTATGCTTGACCAGCAGCGAAGAGCTTCGAGCCTAAGTAAATAATGGCGTAGTCTACAGTACTACCTTGCATTTTGTGTACTGTACAAGCCCAACATAATACAATTGGCAGCATTCTTCGTTCCGCGGTTCTGTGACTATATTTTGCTGGAAATTGCACATACTTTATTAAGCCCTTTCATTTGATACCCATATTGTAGAAGTGAATTAAAAATAACTATTCCACCATCTTGAATAGTCCGACATATTGGATTTAGAATGACGTCACATTATTTTTCGAGTTACTCTCAACGAACGAACCCTTTCATTTGATACCCATATTGTAGAAGTGCATTAGAAATAACTATTACGCCGTCCTGGATGATCCACCATATTGGATTTGAAATGACATCACATTATTTTTCGAGTTACTCTCAACAAGTTCTTTCATTTGATACCCATATTGTGGAAGTTCATTTAAAATAACAATCTCGCCATCCTGGATGGTCCGTCATATTGGATTCAGAATGCCGTCACATTATTTTCCGAGTTACTTATAACGAACCCTTTCATTTGATGCCCATATTGTAGAAGTGCATAAAAAATAACTATTCCGACATCTTGGATGGTCCGCCATATTGAATTTAGAATAAATTCACACACCTTATCATGCATTGTCATCCAAACTAAACGTGAATACAAAATTTAAGCTCAATCGGTGGAAGATATCTACTTCAAAATTGAATTCAAAGATTCCACCCGAACTAACATACATTCATCCATACATTGCAAGTTAAATAAAAGTTTTCAAAAACAACTACTTTTCTGGCAATATGCCATGTAGAACATTGAATTACATCCTCTAGATATCTATGCAACGATTCATAAAGACGAATAAGATTGCGAATGTTTTTTTCCTAAATGCTGAATTGTGCTTAAATTGTTCAGGAACGCATGGACCACCTGCAGACCGGTTTCAAGCTTTTGGCTATCATCAGTACAGGGATGTCCCCCAGATAGCATTGTTGACCGCTATCTGGAGCGAACCTGACCCAAGACCCAACGTAAACGCATCTGAGCACTTAATACCTCACGAGGCGTTCAACGTCCGCGAAATAAACGCCGAACACCACCCGGCATGGAAAGAAACACTCCAAAACAAGATTCCATTTCAGATTAATAGAATCCAGAGGATGTAATTCAATGTTCTGTGTGGCATATAGCCAGGAAAGTATTTTTTTCTCTCTCGTTATCTACCATTTTCGTTCATTTTATGAACTATATGACTTCTCTCTCTTTGTGACCATTGCATTCCACTTTGAGTATTTGGTTTCTTCTAGTTGAAAATACGCCAGTCGGGCAACCAGCCACTCCCATTTCATCTCTCTCTTTGTATTACATAGCTATTGATGAAATGTTCATTTCCACACCAGTTAGGAAATATAAATATAGATGGAAGACGAGAAAGTTCGTTTTGTACTGCTTCCTCGATATCACCCGAGAAATCTGAACTCGAATCAGCCATTTTCCAATGATGAAAATATCAAACGAATCCACATCTTGTGAATTTCTTCGCTGATTTGTGAATACATTATTGTTTGACGGATACCTCAAAGTGACCGGCGAAGTCAAATAAGCGAGCGGACTAACCTTCTAAATACATATTTTTTTAGAATTTTTTGGTCGATTTTAAGGTGCTAAAATCATCAATAATGCCACGGTAATTTTCAAACCGCGAGTAAAAATTGACGTCACGATTTCGTAAGTAGGGGCAAACCATAGCACAGTTATTGCCATATGTTGAAATACGAATTGAAACTTACTCCTAAGTATCAATAACAAATCAATTGTCTCAAAATTTTCCCTCATGTGTTGTGGATTATTGCTTATAAAATAATAATTATTATAATTCACACTAGAGGACATTTGAACCGGTGAACGTGACAAAACGGCGTTCAAATTGTGGGCGGTGCCATGTCAGTTCTCAGCATTCAGCACATTGTTGCCAAGTCCTCAACAGTTACATGATACTTTGTTTTGAGGTATAAGAACTATTTGGACATGCTGGTTGCTCGAAAATTATGTTTTATCTCATGTTTCATTCAACGAAAGGAGTGGCGCAAGACTCTAATATATTTTGATAACTTGATTATAATAATTGGTGACTTGACAACATTGCTTCATGAGTGGGAATGAAAGATCATCTGACTAATAACGAAACAGCATAAAAACTGACGTCACCCTTTATTCGACGTATCGACAAATGGCGAATGACGGTACGTTTGAAATGTGCTCTGAAAATTCAACAATTATTATCAACAACGCATAGACATTATTTACAGTGGAGTAATTGAATGCAAAATTCATTATCAGTCCACTAGCCCATTGGTAGAACTCATGTAACTTGTTGGGAAACGCATTTTGTGTAACTCTGCTTAGCGGGATCTCGCTTCACTCGTCTCGCAAAATCCCATCGTCACACGAAATGATGTGTTTCCTAACTGGCTATGTAAAATAACTATTTTGTTTACTACATGAGATATAGAAAAATCAGAAGCGACATTCTTGATTTCTCTTTTTGAGAAGTTTTGAGACAAATTCTTTGGCAGAAACGAGGATTTTATCATCTTTTGTCCATAAGGTATGAATGATATAGTTTGATTTCTCGATTTCTATAACTCGTCGATTTAGAGTGCACTAGCAATCATCAACTACAAGTGGCACTGGCAGTGGAAATCTAAATTGATTATTTTGGGAGTAACATCAACTGGAAATAAGTCAATTTCTCTGATATTGTCTTAAAAATGTATGAACGAAAACGCCCTGTTCATTTATTCTTTACTAGCTGCACCCTGGGCACGTTGCTATACTACTTACTAGAAGAAATTTGAATTATGACGGAGGAATCATAATCTCCGACCCTGAAAAGCCTCGGATACCAATATCAAATAGAATCGGATCATAATTAATAAACTCGTATGCCGTATTGGATCTGCCATCTTGAATTTCCTAAATTTGACCAAAGAATCATAATTACTGAACCCAAAAACACCCAGATACCAATTTTGAACAGAATCGGATTATAATTAAAAATTTCGTCCGCGATATTGGATCCGTCATCAATGTCATCATGAATTTTCAAATTTTGAGGAAATAATCATAATCTTCCACCCCAAAATCCTCCAGATATCAATTTTGAATAGAATCGGATCATAATTACAAAACTCGTTCCGCCATCTTGAATTTTCCAATTTTGATGAAAGAACCATCGTCTCCGACCCCGAAAATTCCAAGATACCAATTCTGATTAGAATCGGATCATAATTATAAAAGTCGTCCGCCATATTGGATCCGCCATCTTGAATTTTCATATTTTGAGGAAAGAATCATGATCTCCGACACCAAAGACTCCCAGATACCAATTCTGAGTAGAATCGGAACATCATTACAAAACTCGTATGCTATATTGGATCCGCCATCTTGAATTTTCCAATTTTGACAAAAGAATCATTATCTCCGACCCCAAAAACCCCCAGAAACCAATTTTGAATAGAATCGGATTATAATTACTAGAGACTCATGCGCCATATCGGATCCGCCATCTTGGATCCGCTAACTTGAATTTCTCAAATTTTTCTCTCATAGGAACCTTCTCCTGACAATAACAAACACAACAAAAAAGAATTAGTAAAATCGGCCAATGCGTTTACGATTCTATAAAGGATATCCAAACATTCATTTTTATATATTTTGTATATTATAGATTGATGGAATTCATTTCATTCCACTCAAAACACTTAATATTTCCGAAACGAATTTCAAAATAGAATAATAAAATACAAGGTATTGCATTTGAAATAAGAAAGTTGGTATTGGCTGCTATTACATGACATGCCCTGTATATTCATTATTGAATTTATTCCATTCAGCTGAGAATAATTAATTGTTTTTAGGAAACAGTGGGTATGGGTACAGGACATTCTATATAAAATATGTCTAGAAGTTTAGGAAGAATTCAAAAATGGAATCAAATAGAGGGTGTTGCATTTGAAATAAGAAAGTTGGTATTGGCCGTTGTTCGGAGTACATGACAGTTTTTGTTGGAAAGGATGCAATAATAAAAATATCAATTGACTTATTCCAGCATTTGTCCAAACAGGCCCTGTTTTATTCATTATGGAATTTATTCCATTTGGCTGATACACTGTACAGGAGACCCTGTATTATTCTGGGTATTATCCAATGACGGCTAAATATCAAGAAGATATCAAGTAAGCTGCCGACCTGATCATGACTGTCCATACCATATCATGTTTAGGAATCTGTTATTTTTTTACCATGCCACGCCCATTCCCCGTATCCCGCGACATCTATTGACAAAATTTGAACTGTTTTTATGCTAACCTAGAAATTGAGAGATGTCACTGGTGACAGATAGGTACAGATACCTACATTGCCTACAGAAATGACATTCTGTGGTCAATGCCAAATGAACTTTTGCTTTGCTTGTTATGTAATGATCATAGGTTATGATGTTTATTCAGGAGCTTACTTGATATTTAGCTGTCATTGGTATTATCATTATCTGTTAATATAATTCTTATTATTAGTTGGAGCAGAATTCAATTGTGTGTTCAGTTGATAATATACAGGATGTTTGATTTGAATAAACACATTTTTGGGATTTTGAAAAAATATATGTTTAATCACTGTATGAGTTTGGATAGAATTCTTATTTTCACTTTGAAGGTCATTAGGTGTACTAGTTCTAGATGAAGAGATCTTCCTCTTTGAGTAATAATTTGTAACTGAAGTGGTGTACACATTTTTTAAATCATGAATGAAAATATTTGAATACCAATTTTTTTGAGATCTGAAATTTAAGAGTTGGGATTTCAAATTTTTTTTCCATAGGTACATTTTCTATGTCTTGGAAAGCAAATGCACAGGTAAATTTTCTACTGCAGTGAAAAGTACATTTATACCCATTTATTTCTTACCTTGGTGCATCACTGACTTCTGAAATTTTACAAGTGTAAATACATTTCTGTGTAGGGTCCTTGAGGCTACCATATATCCTAGTTGACACATATCCCACTGGGTAAATGGCATGTTCAGTATGAAAATCAACTCTATCTGATATAACCTCTCCAAGTGAATGGATAGTCAGGCGACCTAATTCAATTGGAAATATAGGTTTTCCAGTGTGGTCAATTGGCACAGGTTGGACAATTTTTTTTCTACCTTTGGATGTATTCTTTCTGGTTTTGAGCAGTGAAGATTTCCGCTCTATAAAATTCAATCAATGAAGTGAACTTGAAAATATTTGACAGTTTTACCTGATGAATCACCATGATTCTTTCTTTTATTCTTTCTATTTTCAATGACGATATTTGAAGGCAATGTAGGATGTGAAGAGCCTAGCCGTGAACCAGGTCCATCTTTTGCAGCATTCTGAACTTCTAGGGCTACTTGAGGTTCATACTCACAAAGCTTTCTCAAAAGGAATTTACGTTCTTCTTTCCTCACTATAATATTCATGTGAACTTCTTCAAGTTCGTCAACTAATGCAGCGTTTTCCTGAAATAGCTGGGTGAAAAAAGATTGCAGAAATATATCATTTATTTTGACTTACATGGACGTACTCTCTGATCATTTGCTTCAGTAGAGCTAGTTTTTGTTTATATTTTCCTGAAGTTCGGTCTGAGTTACCAAAATTATTTACAAAAGCCATCACTTTTAAATATTTATGAAATGTTTGTATATTTATTATTATTTATTATTGTAATGTAATGACACCGACTTCGACCAAGGTTAAGTGGTATCTTCGTCTCCCTCTCCAACTTCTTTGCTCACTTTTTCTTCACAGTCGTACTTTGAACGGGACCGTACTCAACCCAAGTGACCCGAAGCAAAGCAAGAATTCATCGTCTTCTGTGCTCTTATGGCAGCCAATGAGCCATGAGGGCTAACATCCAAACCGCGCTACTGAAACGCAATGCAATGTTCCGTCAGGGTTGGTAGAACTGATGAAAATAGTTCGTGAATACTCAGATATATCTCATTTTCCTATAATAGGAATCCTATTATTTATCATTTGGCTTCTTCCATAGATAATTATACAGGTATTTTCCTACGTGAAATGCTTTTTCTGTGATAATTTTTCTTCGTCAATGTAGAGTACAAAAACATAAGTCTGCTCAAGTCTTTGGATAACTTGATGTCTATTATTTGTTCAAATAGTCTACATTTTTTTTTTCGGATAAAACCACTCAAATCACTGAGTAGTCCTTGGTCCTAACTTGTCCTAATATAATTCAAGAATAATGGGTGGAAATTTGAAATCGCGCCCAATGGTTGAGAGTGAGTTAAGTCATGCAGAAGCAAATGCATTCAATTATCAATGCATGCATATGAGATGTTTATAACTATATAATATTATGTGTATTCATTTATTATGAATTAGTAAAATGAGAAATTACAAATTTATAAACTTAATGACTAAATGTGCCACACAATCACTCCACCTTTTTTGTACAATTTTCATTTGAATATTTTACTGATTTTATGATTATTATTAAGTTCTACCTGGAAAAGTTGCTCTTGTTCACAATCCTATTGTTGGTACTCTCTGAAAACCATTATTCATGTCAGTATACCTATCATCTTCTTCTTATATACCTAGCTATATCTATACTTGAGAAAAAAACTTAACACCTTCCACAGCATTTTGTAAATATTATATTCATGATAAATCCTGGAATATCAATTTCAATTCATATATTAGCAATACCAATTTTTTCTATCTGCTCTAGTAAATTTTTCAAATTGATATCAAACAGCTCACAGCGAATAGGCATTTCCAAAGAATAAAAAGGGTTCTTCAAAGCATAATCTGCATAAATTTCATAAATTCTTTTCAATAATATTTCCACTCCTGTTTGGGCTGGATCAGAAATAACCAATATTTTAAAACCAGTAAGTGTCTGGAAACAGTTCAGTTTGAAAGTATCTGCTTCCAAAATTTCTATACCAGACGATTTTGGTTCAGGACTGAGTTGACTAGCAATTGCAAATAATGGATAGAACATACTGGCTAGAAATATTTTCTCATTGGTAGTCATTTTAGGCCTACCAAATTTGAGAGTCACAGGGAAGTTTTCTTTTTTTCCAAGGAATTCCAGAGCATCTTGACCATCATCCATTTGCTGTCCAGTAACTTGAACTCCGTTAACTGCATAAAGTACATGGCCCACTAGAAGTATGAAAGAAATGGGTATGGCACTTAAACATGTTTTCAATCATGATTTAAAGATGTTACCATTGACCCCGTCCCTTTGACCAAACTCCACTACAATTTTCTTATTCTCTACTCGTAACTTTATATCTAGAGGATATGCATACTTCTTTTCAGTTTCAACTTTGGGGACAGTATGGTCATAGTTGAAAATTAGTCCACCTGACTTGGAGACTATGTATATTCCGTAAATCACCATTATATGATTTGGTACTAAATAAGCACATCTACAACTACAACAATATTACTTCAATCTTGTTCCCATCATAGATTTATTAATAATTATAATTTTGATCTCAAAATAGTATTGTATTTTTTAATTCTAAGTGTCAAAATTTCAAAATTAAGTCAGGATGAGGTTAATTCCAAATTATTCCAAATCTTACTCAATAACTTTTTTTTCATCATTCCTGCCATCAAGGAACTTCTCAGTTGAGACCAGAGGACATTATGGGTTATGGTTACAAAGATGAATGTCCGACATTATATAAGAGCATAAGTGGCAAAATGCCGATAAATAATAATAATTAATAAGAAGATGAACGACAAAATGTCAAAAATGACATGTGTTCGTCAGGTCATATCAAAATGACAACTGAAAATAATAATAAAAACGTGCACTGAGCAGCAGGTTTTTAATTTTAATTTTGAAAATGATTTTACTACAAATTTGAAGTGACGAAATTTCCCATCATCTCTAGAAAGAAATGGATTTGAAAGTGAGTTGATCAGTTGATATTACATCATGAATACTTGGCAACTTATAAGGACTTCAGAGTTCAGAGTTCAAATTCAAATAATGATTATTATAGGATGTGGAGTGAAGATTTTATATTCCATTTCATTGGTGTGTATATGAATTTATTCAATTTTATTTATAGCAAATAGGTTATTCCATCTTCAGAGGTTTCTATGACAGTTTTAGTGGCATGATAACAATTCTCTATCTAGACAAAGAAATAAATGAAAGAAAAATTAACAGAGTTTCTCCTACCAGAGCAAATGCAGTGCGTCAGAAGCTGGACTCAAGAGAAAGCACACCAATCAGACAATTAAAAAAACATGAGTAAGAAGCAATAAAATTTTCAATATTTCCCTTTATTTGTACTTAATCCTTGATTTTTTTAAATTAAACATTTTCCTTAGACCTGAAACCTAATTGATTACAGATTGTATTTTTTATAGAGAATCCAAAGTTACCAAAAGAATTATACAATGTGGTGTTCTGAATGGAGGCATATTTTTGATGAGCATACTACTATTTGAGTATGGACTGCTTCCTACCATCAATAAAGTATTTGGATATATTTTTGGAAATGAATCTTTTATGGGTAAATTTGTATGGTCTTGGATGGAACCAATGTTACTGTTGATATTCAGGACAGTATGGGTTATCCCTTTATTTTTATTGAGCAAACTAGTCAATGCTTTATGGTTTCAGGTAAGATTATCTCAGTTATTTCATTCCTTATTCCATATTTGTCACAAATTTTATCTGAAAACCACTGAATCTGCACAGTTCAATGAATTTATCAATATCTGTGTCATTCTTATCATTGTATGACAATCCAATGGATTCCAGTTTTTTGAAAGTATTTGTCAACTGTTTCAGTTCCAAATTTTCTTTCAGCAGTTTTGATGGTAGTCCAATGTATTTCAATTCATGCTGGTTCCTTAGCACTTGTTGGTCTAATTTCACCAAATCAGTCCCAATTAAATCTAAACTCTCCAAGTTTGTCAAATTGGAAAAAGTATTTGCTTCAAATTGTTTAATTTTGTTATCATTCAGTATTAGATGGTTCAGTTTTTTTATACTGAAAAATGCATTCTCATCAATATGCTCAATACCATTCCCTTTCAAATCCAAATATGTTAGCTCAATCAGTCCTTCTAAAAAGTTGTTACTCAATTTTGTTATTTCTTGTCCTTTTATTGTTAGATGTTGTAGATTTTGTGAGCTCTTGAAAGAACCTAAAAAAAATCTTAAATCACTTAAGTAGCTTGGATTGTAGTTGAGTTTTATTTACAATTCTGTATGATGAGCCAATGATTATTTGAAATGTATAATATCCTCAGTTCTGGGAAATGTTTCATTAGAGTGTTTGTAATATTGGGAAGCTCTGAATTATTAATTAAGTAGAGCATATGAAGTGATTTCATATCTGTTGAGATATTTTTAATGCTGCAAAACTGAATATCCATTGAGTCTATTTGGGATATTTCAGAAAATGTATCTTCCCCAATTGAACCAGAACTATTTCTCAAAAATACTGATTTCACATTGGTGTTGTTTTCTCCTTCCAAATCCAAAACCAATATTTCACTCTCATTGTTTGTCTTCAAGTTTGTGCAGTACATTCCATATGTTTCCATTGTACAGTTTGAAGAAACTTCCATAAGAGTAACTGTGCTGAAGATAAGTATGAAATAGTTGAAACTGGAAGGAACAAAAAAAATTGCAAAATTATTATTCATTTGGTACCTACTCAGCATGATAAATATGGTTGTGTAATATGTAGATATGATTTCTTACCATTTCATCATCTTGTTGAAATTATAACATGTCTAGTTGCATAGGTTAATATCTTAATATTGAAGAATTTGAATAATATTATGATGTTATGGAGATTTGCTGCATAATACTATTCTTAGTGCATGAGTCACAAGTTCTCCGAACCCCTTATCATTGAGTAGTTTTCAATATAAAATTGATAATGTATTAATTATCTATAACTTATTTTGCTTGGAACATTGACGCATTTCTTACTCTCTTCTAAATAACATATTTTTTTATTTTTTGAATGGGGTTGTACACTCTAATCGAATTCACGCCACTTACCTATTTTATATTGATCAGTCCATGTGTAAATAGTAGTTGATGCTATTAGTCCTTATTTAAAATCATCTAAAATACGTTTTTTCATTAATTGAAAATCAGAACCTTCGAAAAACGCCAGGTTTCGTGACGTCATCAACCTGCTGGCACGGAGAATAGTCATCGTTGCCAAATTTATAGCCAGTAATTACCTATATGAGATTCAATATCACCAATGACAAAGTATTTACGTTCGCAAAAGACAATGTGGCCACCTGGTTCCTGATAATCACTTAGTGAATACTTATATACCTTGCAAGATGATGATTCAGTGTCAGTAATAATATCCTAATATCCGTTATAATGATCATAATTTTATTCAAACCCAAATTTTTTTGTGAGTCTGGCAACAGCGCAATCGTCGAAATATCAATAGAGAAGAAGAATTATTATAACCTAACCTAACGTAGGCCGTCTGGTTGGTAAACAAAAACAATTCAAAGACACGTTTGTTTACTTGAGGACTTTGTGGGTTTTGGAAGCCTTTTAAAGTATTATTTTATTGAGTCAGATTAAGTTTTGTTTAGATTAATTATGAATAATGAAAACTCACTGTGATTTTGAAAAGAAAATGCCAGTAACATGTATTGTGGTGGGACCATTTGATGTTTATTCCCTTTCCTACTGTGATACTGTGAAAAACTCGGTGCATTACCCACAGATGAAGGATCTATCAAGAAAAATAAGGGAAATGTGGATAGCAGCCATCAAGAGAAAGAATCAACAACAGAAACATTCATAATAAACCAGAGGATATGTTGCAGACACTATTTTCATAACAGGTACTTGAGAAAAAGGATTTTAATATTATTCATATGTACCTACCTACTCTAGAACTGATGAATTTAGTATTTCATGGTATTGAAAACATATATCATTTTTCTTTTTGATGAAAGAAGCCAATACTCATTACCTTTGATGGCCTTACATGGTTTGGATACATCATGTTTTCAATACACACATAATTTATTTACCTTGTAGGAGAACCTAGTGCCTGAAAGATGAAAATCATCCAGCTTGGGCAGTATAATATGGATCATCAATCTCTAGCCCATTCAAAACACAAGACTGATGTGGATCAAAAACTGAGAGCAGAGAAAAGGTTTAAATCAGAAATCCAGTAATAAAGCATCTGAGCCAAGAGACCTGGTATGTTCCCAAGAAAACATATAATTACCTACTTCACTTTAATCATGAAGCCTTGCTTTATTAGTAAACTAGGTATATTGATATGTAACATTTTATATTCATTTCAGTGTAATGAAGAAAGTGTCTGGGAGATGAAGACATAGTAGAGATAATTGGTGAAAATGAGGTGAAAATCTACAATAGATTCCATATTATACTTTTACAAATTATATTTTGTTGTGATTTATTTTTATTGATTATAAATGGAAAAACAAATATAGTAAATACTTATATCAAAATTGTAATATTCAATTAATGAAAAATACAGTATTATTCCACAGTAGGTAATGTATATTACAAGAGATCTACATAGGTCATAAAAAAATCTTCATAGAACATAATAGGTATTCAGTGATCTGATTGAAACAAAAATGAACAATGGTAGAATGATATATTATAAATAGGTAGATATTTTTTTATAGAACTTGTTAAATCAAAATTCACAAAACCATGCCAACTTTGGTTGCTTTGGTGTACCTAAAATATATACACATTAAAAATGGAACCATTTGATTTCACTTTATCACTGTCACAACTATTCATAAGCACTAGAACACTTATACCCATGGACATATAAAAAAACCAATAGTTCATATTTGCTGTACTTCTTGTGGTGTAGATTTCATATGTGATGATACACTTGGTGGCCTAACTAACTCACAACCTTTCTCAGTGTGGCAATATGTTTAAAGCCTCTATCAGCCAAAATCTTGATAAAGTTCTATTGCATAAATTTCACTTTCTTTATAACTGGGTTTTGTATGTTTGTCTCTAATCTCCTCAGCAATCTCATCAAGATCAGTTGAACTGTTTAGCTCATATTTCCTTGTAGGAGATGAAAGAGATTCAGATATTGTATATGAACTTGAAAATGAAGGTTTCATACAACAAGGTTTGATCACACTCTCCTCCCTCAACTTGATATGATTCATTGGTGGGTACATCATGAAAAGTTTTATTTTCCATATTTACACCTCTACTTCTGAATGGCCCTTTTATATTAGTCTGAATATGAATAACCATTTCTTCCTCAACCTCAATGATGTCAGGAACTGATATAGATGTATTTGCTACATTTTTGGATGATGCATGTTCTGCACTTAGTTCTGCATAATCTGATAGCTGTATTTTTCGTTTCTTCCAAACATTTTTCAGCAACTCTGCTTTCCTTTTGTTTCCCTTATCAGTCAGTACACTTCTTTTGTATGTCGTATGTGGGTGGCGGTACATTCAAGAACTTGTGTGGCACTGCATGAGGTTTCAGCTTGAGTGTTGTTCCAATGATTTTGGAAAACATGCAATTAACTGAATTGTCTTCAAGCTGGAATATCGGAAAGTGAAAAGGATATCACATTTCACAATGGGAACCCACATTGAAATGATCCTCACAGCAGTAGAGGTCATGTCCTGAAATAAATTCCAGATGCACTGCCAGTTTTTCCTGCGTTGGGTACTAGCCGGGACGATCGAAAACAGTTTTTCAGGCGAATTCTCACTACTATTTTGACAAATCGGTATAAAATATACGACTACCATAGGTTAGGTTATACGCAATCTTCTTCTCCAATTTTAGTATCATTACCAAAATATTCATCTCACATATTTTGATAAATGACAATCAGAAATATGTTTGCACTTGTCTAAGAGAGAGAGAATGGATATGTATGTCGAATCTTACATGAATTGTTCACCGGCTGCCTACGTCACGCGCTTTCCCGCGTTTTTCATGTTACGAAATATCGTGTATTTCAATAATTATTTAAAAAATGTACAGAGCTCTGGGGAAAAAACGGTTTGCGACAGTGAACTAGTTAGGGTTAGTACTTCGAAATAATGAAATAAAATTTTTCACTGAAACAGGCCCATTGATTCGGCCTTACTTGATGGAAATCCATAGTGAATGTAAAAAAACTTCACAGACCATAAGATTTCATTTCCACAAAATTCTTGTTTTGCTAACACAGTAGCTTCTTCAGGTGAAATACTAGTAAAATAAACTAAATTTACATTGGCTTGCCTAACTTTCATATCCTACTTTCCCAACCTGAAGGATTAGAATTACCTGTGGACAGGTTTGATGAACCTTCATTTTCGGAAAATAGGCACAATATCTATATTAACCCTTTCTGTCCCGGGCCTTAATTACATGTTGGTCCCCCAGTCCTCAGAAGTTTTTTTCAAGCTTATTGCCTTATATATACGTCGCATATACAGGGTGTCCGGAAATTAGGCGCAAAAAATCAAGGGGGTGATTCTACATGATAAAATAAGAATTTCATTTCATATATATGTACGTGGGTCCGGAAATGCATAGGTTTCAACATACAGTGTGTAAAAACTTTTAAAAAAGTTCGGTTTTTTATGAATATCTCAAATGTCCTTCCACCGATTTTCTTGAATTTTGGCAATGATATTTCTTGTCATGAGGGGCTGATATAGCGATAATTCAATCGGAATTATGAAAGTCAGTGGCGTCTCAGGGGGCAACCTAGCGAATATTATTGTCAATAAAATGTGCGCGACTGATTTTTTCAAATTCTACATCGTCATAGGATGTACGGCCTAATCGTTTAAATGGTGAGAGTTATTTACATTTTTCACAACATGGTCTGAGAGATCTCATGGATGATGTACCATATTAACTGAGGTCTGAGATGTGGTTTATGCACGTCAGGAATTAATAAGTCTGTCATTATTAATTCCTGACGTGAATTCTTTCGGATATCAAAAAGAAAAATAACAGTTTTCTTGAAAACGGTTCGTTTTACGGCATTCCAACAAGAGTACCTTTTTCATGAAGAAGAAGTTTCGCACCTCCCTGTATATTATATCATTTTTTCCATTCCTTCAAACGATTCATGAGATCAAATTACCTATTGGTACAAAATTTCATGATTCTAGGATCAATGGTAACAAAGATAATTGAAGAAAACAACTGCATTTAGGGACCAACCTTCAAAGGGCTGTAGCGCCCTTAAGAAGCATTTTCGGACACCTGTTGATAGGAACATTTTTTCTTATTTTTATCTGTAGATCGACCTCCCGGAGTATACGAACGTTATTCTGGGACACCCTGTATATAAACGGCGGCTGGGACTACAGACCCACTTTTCAAAAAACATGTATTTGCGGCTTTGGGACAGAAAGGGTTAAAATAGGATCTACCAGATCAACTTGAAAGGAGTCTTAATCAAATACATATTATTACCTACTAAGAAAACAAACTCAACAGTGATGAATTATTGGATCCTTGAGTAAAATGTCTGCATTTTTGCGTTTGTTGATTTTTAATGATTCGAAATGATTGAGTTTTAGTTTTTTATCCACGCATCGAATGACATGAAAATATATATGAGCTCCAATTTGAAATAAAAAACATATAGTGCTTTGAAATTTGAAAAGTTTGCCACCAAATTTTGCACACCCTGTGATGATTCGTGTCAATCAAACTCGGTTAGCGATCCTCTTAGGCCTTATTTGATATGTATTCCTCATGGTTCTATTGAGCAGGCACTCTCTTTTTTGTTATTAATGTTTTAGACCAGTGGTGCAAATTTGAATTTTTTCGTTATATTTTTTCACGTGAATATCACTGAACCGATTTCAATTGAATTCCAAGAGTATGTAGGTAACCACTAGAAGCACTCAAATGTGCAACAAAATATCTCGGGCATGCCATTTAAAAAAATATATCATTATGACGTCATACTTTTTTGGGACACCCTGTATAATCGAAATTATTTTCCTGGTATGCGCCCTACGATGCAATTGAAGTCTGTACAATATCAAAATCCTGACTCAACTGATAACTGAGCTATAGAAGACGGGAGGTGAGATGCAGCCGATGCAGGACCCTGTATAATTATTGTAAAAGAAGGGTATCTTGGCAAATTTTTTCGAATTGATCCATCTGGAAGGAAAAATGTATCATATCTAATAATATCTGTTTCGATATAATAGGAAATATCGGGGAGTTCAGTCGATCGGGCTACAAGCAAACTACTTTATTGCTATGCCAAGCTTTGGAAAATTTTTATTTTCTTCTTCAAGTAGTTTGCTTGTAGCCCGATTGACTGGAGTCTCTCTTTCCTATTATATCAAAATATAATACAGTCGATAAATTATTCAATATCTGTTTCAACAAAATTAATTGCACACACTACAGAATGTTGAGTTGGGGTCCAATTTTAACGAGGTAGGTATAGCAGATATTCACTTTTTTCGCAGTTATTCATCTTTAGGAAATGAAAAAATCGAAACACTTTTTGATGGATTTTCACACACACACAAACACCTTTTCACTCATAACTCGACCACTAGAATAATTCCTTAGATTGGAAAAACCTGAAGCTACTCAGTGTAAAATTAACTAGATGAAAATGTATCTGTACGGAACTTTCCCGATAAGGATTTACCCACTAATTTGTTTTATGTGATCCAATTATTATGGTCACTAGTTTCCACTTGAAGAGGTAATATAGATTTTTTTGTTTTAAGGATATAGCAGACTCTGCTTACAGGCACAGCAGAGGCAGGCCAGTATTTGCCCAAAGCATCAGTAAACTACTGGCGGATTCGATATTTAGCATAGTCATTCAATTTTTATTTCTATTACAAGCCACTGCCGTCAGTTATATACCCATCTACATGGTGGGATACACATTGAGCCTACTTCAGATGTGTATGTTGTATTCTCTCTATGCCTTTGAATACAAGTGGTTCAATATGGGATGGGAGTTGCACAAAAGGCTGTCATACATCGAAGCAAATTGGCCGTACTTTTTCGGGTTCGGCTTGCCAATGGCCATTTTCACTGAGTTGTCACCTTCTTGGATAATCAGGTGGGCAAAATAGTGTATTCCCTATCAGATTGAATTCAATTACTAATATTATTTTTTCACGTGTTGAGATCGGACATTTCAGTGATACCGAGCAATATAACAATCCGTGATTCTAGCCAGTTATTCTGTATACACCGTGTCTGAGTTTAAAACGGCCCCCCCTCTATATCCAAGCTATTTTTCTCATGAAATCGTATTAGGATTCTTTTAACAGAAAAACTAACCGCACAATATTGTTTTTCTTTGAGAAAGTAGCATTTTTCCGGCCTAGTCCGGGAAGTAAGTCAAATAAGCATTTCAAGCGTAATTTTTCCGTGTACGTAATTCCAATTAAAAATGGACGACTCAGGAAACTTTCAAGATCTCCCCTTCGGAAATAATTGATGCAAACACTAACCAATCAAATTCAAATAAGAAACGACATTCTTCAAGATGTTGCGGCATCTGCTATACAGGGTGTTTCAAAAAAACCTGACCCGCTTACTAGGGCAGGTAGAACACTGCAAAATAAGTTGGGTTTACTCAATAAAAAAATTTCGTAACGGCATCCGTTATCAAGATACAAGGTGTTGAAAAAATTATTTTTTTACACATTTTTCAAGATTATGTCGAAACTACTGGCAACATTGTGATGACATTTTGTATGGATGTATCTTGGAATCCGACACATCGCATGCATTTGTCTTTATATCTGACTCTCATAGAGCGCGCTAGTTACACGGTTCGTACCGAGTAGTTTTGAACAAAACTTTTTTGAGGTTAGATTTTTCAATCCAAATTTGATGTGCACTTGAACATCATTCAATTTCACACCAAAAAGGTACTCTTGGTAAAACTCGATACTGTGTTCCGTTCTCGGAATATTTCGATTTGAAAATGATGAAGTGATAACTGTTGCTGGTATAAAGCTATGCATTAGAGTGAATATTATGAAAAATTATCACCTATTCATTGGAAACCAAAAACAACAATACGTTTCTGATGCTAAACTTATTGATTTAACAATGAATCACAAGAATAACATCGAAACAGATTTGACTAAGAACATGGATTACACAGTTTTGTAATATCTTGAGCAGAAAATCTATGCTACATAGGTAAATCCACGTCAAGAGTTGTACGACATCATTAAACATCACTTAAATGACCTAACAGCTGATCCTCAACTGTTTAGAAGAATAATACATTCTCAAGAAAAGAATATTAGAATCGTGTATTGGTCGAAACGTAGGACATTTTGAACACTTACTCTAACTGATTCAATATTTCATGTTTCTAGGCAAATATCTCTTAATTTCCTACTTATGATTCTTTGTTCCATCAATAACTTCAACACAAGAATAATTTTATTGTTTTTGAATCTGAATAAATAGGTAATTGAACTCAATAAAATTAATTTTATGCCAGCATCATAACTACTCCATTATTTTCAAATCGAAATATTCCGAAAACGGAACATAGTATCGAGTTTCACCAAGAGTACCTTTTTGGTGTAAAATTGGATTACGTTCAAGTTCATATCATATTTGTATTGAAGAATCTAACCTCAAAAAAGTTATGTTCAAAACTAATCGGTACGAACCGAGTAACTAGCGCCCTCTATGCGAGTCAGATATAAAAACAAATTCATGCGATGTGTCAGATTTCAAGAAACACCCATACAGAATTTCATCACAATGTTTCCAGTAGTTTCGACATAATCTTGAAAAATGTGTAAAAAAATAATTTTTTCAACACCTTGTATCATGAAAATGGAGGCCGTTACGACATTTTTTTACTGGGTAAACCCAACTTATTTTGCAGTGTTCTACCTACTTTAGCAAGGAAGTCAGGTTTTTTTGAAACACCCTGTATAACAGTATGCAACAAACACAAATTGCACTTTCAATTTCAATATTTACCATCGTTAATGTTTTAGTTATTGATATTTGAATGTTCTCCAAAGCGGAAAAGTTACTTTACCGCACGACTTCTGTATTGTTGAAAATAAGGATATTTAGGACTAACTAAAAACTAAATGATCCATGTAACTATTCTGTCTTATGTATCATTTTGTAGCATCATTATAGAATATTGTTTATTAAAAACATTTTTCTTTCATAAATAATATGGACAAAAACACTCGTAGATAAACTGTGTACCTAACTCTCACAGAAAATGTACTACTTTCCGCACTTGTTAGGTGAATAACTATTCCATCACTTGAACTTTTTTATTTGAGGCAATAGGGCAAGGAATATACTACCACTTGTTTTGTTTTCATATGTTTGTCAAATAAACGAGTTTTTCCACCAACGTCAAAGAATTACAAGGTTCGCGCACTAATGACAATTTGGAAAGTGACACTTTTTTCAGTTCGTGCATTGTATGTAACTTCATGAGATTTTTGTATTCAAACTTTATGGTCCTCAATCGAACAAACATCCAAGGAATCATTTATTTCTGAATGTTTAACAATAATTTAGGCCTTTTAAGCCAGTTCAACATTTCAACACTATTTTCATATCAAGCTAAGCATAATATTACTTTAGAACTTTATTTTTTGACGTTTGTAGAAAAAATGTTTGCAACTTGTGCGGGTAATACTTTGGTCGTCTCGGCTGCGCCTCGTTAAAAAATCGTTTCTCGATCACCAAAATATAAGAATAACCATAACATTATGTTGGTATTTGGCTATTTTTTTGTATTTTTGTTTTGTGTTCTATGATTGTTATTTCAGACAATTTTACCAGTAATGTAATAAATTTTTTCTCTTATTTTTAGTGGATGTGTTTTCTCAATACTCTTCCCATTTTTCATAATTAGTGGAAATGAAGCAATCCCTATTCAAAGTCCAAGGTATGTACTTATTTTTGAAAATAACTGATTTTTATTCCTCTTTCACTTTCACGAATATTTGATTATTCCGTTTCAAAAAAGTTATTTATCACATTTTCTTCCAATTGAAGAAAAACGCAAAATATTCTGTATACTTTTACATCTCAAAACTAGAGTCCCTGTATATAGGTACCTTAGACAAGAGTCCGGACACAGCTATACTTCTGTCCTTTTCTGTTTTCAAAAAATGCATTGATGATTGAAAAGGAATATGACATATTATATATCGAGCTCTCTCTTCTCAATTCCCCTAGGATCAATGATTGTCAGAACAAATTTTGAGGGTTAGATAATTTGTCAAACCGTTCATAGCTGTAGGTAGAAGTGAGAAATAGGGCTATTTGGACTAGGATAACTATTAGATTTTTTAATAATAAACAACAGGGTGTTCAAATTTGGAATCGATAATTTTCATAATCAATTCCTGAGATGGCTATTGTAAATTTTCCTCATCAGATATTTCTTCACTTCATTAGATATAAAAAAGATAATTTAACTGTTCTACGTGGTATCACAAGAAAATATAGTTGTTTTCTGTTGGGATATAAAAAAATAGAAGATATATAATTGTTTCAATATAATTTTAATTGTGTCGGTTTCCCACCTCTTCCTACAGTCTACATTCACCTGTAAATTTTGAATTTGATCTGAATTAAAAACACCGTCTTTATTTGATGAATTGACGGCACAGCAGACTCTTTCAATTTGAAATCCACCAGCTTGAAAAAATCTCTATCAAAATGGGCCTAAAATTCATCTTTTTTGTACTGTTTTTTCAAGTTGATTTGAATATTTACCTCACATATTGCGGATTACTTGACATTAATTTTCCATTCTGGACGTTTCATTGCATTCTTCCATGACATTATCTTTAAAGGATAATTCGGAAAATTGAATAACTTGAATCCCTTTTCTAATGAATTATCGCAATAATGTACGCAGCAGGTCATAAAATTTCAGTGACAGAAATTCGAAATAATTAAAAAAATCGGGCGGGACGACTATGGTGTTTCGTCACATTGTCAGGTGGGCAAACCAAATGAAACAAAATATTAAAAACCCCAACGGCTGTCAGTTTTGTGTCCGGACTCACGTCTAAGGTATATACAGGGACTCTACTCAAAACCAGGCATCTAGTACTCAGAACAAAAATATGGAGTATGATGTTCAATTTTATATGCTGCTTTTGCTTGTAGATATTGTTTCTAATATTCCCTATTTTCATTCTGTTTTTTCATTTCAGTGGCTATCCTCTACATGTTTTTTCTCCCGTGATCAGCATATCAAATATGTTTTTCAGTCGGACAATTGGAAATCCGAAGAAAACCCCCACTCATGTACAGAAATGATTTGTTTTTTTTACTATGTAGTGTCATTACCTCTTTTACTCTGTTGGTGTAATATTATTGACTGATAAATATTTTTATTTCATGTATTTTTATCGATGAGGCGGTATTTATGTTTGTTATAAAATAAATCAATTTCTACAAGGAGACTTTTTTTAAAATATTTTTGAGAACGTTTGTTGTAATACCATGTTAATACCCATCAATAACGATCTAAAAATGATCGAAGATTATCTTTTTTTGGATTATGATACAAAGATAACAGAGGACTCATCCTCCACACTTGTCTGCAGTTTTTAAATTGAAAAATTCCTACTAAACGCAATCGTAAATAGTTGATACTCTATATATTCGGAGAATTTCAAATATAGTGATTTTGAAACACCCATATTTCATTTTCCATTTAAACTGTATGATTTATTCTTCGATGAGACAAATTTGAAAATCCTGCTGCGAGCAAGAATCAACATCGAATATTTTAAGAATAATTCGGATTATTCGTCGAATATTCCTAAGACATTCTCAGGACATTTGAATAACCATGGAATATTGAGGGAATATTTATATATGGAATAATTCGTTGTTCTTGAGAAATATTCTAGAGGCATCAATATTTATAAATATATTTGTGCTATGTGGGAGGTAGATAATATTTTCATTGTCTGGTCTGCATCAGCATGGTATTCTCTTGACCTTCTAATACACCATAGTTCTTTCAAACCAAATATAGTGATTTTGAAACACCCATATTTCATTTTCCATTTAAACTGTATGATTTCTTCTTCAATGAGAAACAATTGAATATCCTGCTACGATTTTTAGAATTGTTTTTTTCGTAATCAGTTTCATAAACAGGAATCAACATCGAATCTTTTAAGAATAATTCGGATTATCCTTTGAATATTCCTAAGACATTCTCAGGACATTTGAATAACTATGGAATATTGAGGGAATATCCATATATAGAATAATTCGATGTTTTTGAGAAGTATATTCATTATTTATAAATATTTTTGTGCTATGTGGGAGGTAGATACTATTTTCATTGTCTGGTCTGCATCAGCATGGTATTCTCTTGACCTTCTAATCACCACAGTTCTTCCAAACCAATAAGTAAAAAATGAAATAAAATAATTCCAAAACCTTGCCATGACTGCCTTGGCCATATTTTTGGAACATTAATTATGTTGCCTTTTTTATTGAACCCGCCTCTTCGATAGCTGCGGCCAATCGGAACATTCTAAATGTGCTTAGTTTTCTTGGGAAGGCTAATCTAACACTTCCTTCACAGCCAGGATGTTCTTGCCATTAATACCGGTCCGGGATCTTCACACATCGTTAATTTATCGTGGATTGTGGACTGATAGTTTTTTAAAATTGTGTTTGTGTGAATGCTAGTGCAATGCTTTATCATGCAATTTTACTTATAGCTATAATTTTGCGAGAAAAGTGAAAACACTGGAGTCTCAGTACCAGCGGAAAAAGAGGAAATCTGAAAATTCGATGTGTTCTGTGATATGCAAACACACTAGAGGATACAACGCAAGTTATCCCAAATTACTCTACGATATAGTGTTATCGAAATGAATTTCAAAATTTGTGTGTGAATATTCGAATACCTAAACTTGGGGATTTTCTGAGTACAGGGTGATCCACCATGAATCCCGTCTCTGTAACATACCTGTTTATAAAGATCTACAAAAATTTCAAAAGCCAATGAGAGCCGAATATTGCGATTGTTTTTTAAAATAAATAGTCCTAGCAATACCAATAGTTTTTTTTTGTAATTCGCATTGTTACCTTACGAGACCTGAATGTGAGATCCCAGTGATGGTTGTGTTTACTGGGATATGGTTTAATAAAGTATCATAAACTTTCTTAGTTATCTCTCGTAATTTCAATGTTAGAATAATTCAAAATAGGATTCTCAAATCATTTTTTATATTATCTAATTTATTTTGTACTCCAATTTTATGATTGAAGGCTTTTTAAATTTTCAATTAGATTCATGAAGAAGAAAGTTACAGGGCGGAATTTATGGTGGATCACCCTGTACATTATCGAAATTCTCATAGCAGATTGATACATTAAAAAAAGCCGATGGTGGCAGGATTTGGATAACTCTATATGATCAAGTCATATATTTACATAATAGCCATTTATACAATTTTGTATATCAAGGGAGGAAAGGTATCAATTTCCTCTCGCGTGTGAAGTTTGATGCACGACGCGTAGCGGAGGGCGTTAAACACGCATGGGAGGAAATGAACCATTGCTCCCATGATATACAGGGTGTTTCTTAAGTACGTATAGAAAATTTAGGAGCATATTGCTGACGTCAAAATAAGAAAGAAAGTTCGTATACATGTATGTCCGAAAGTACCTAATTCATTTCTGAGATACATAGTGTCAAAGTTGAATTCTTATTTTTTGATAATAAATTTCAAAATAATTGTGATATTCGAATAAAGTTTGGTATCTAGAGGTATTTTTCAATGACAATATCAAATTTCATGTTAGTTTGTCTCTTTCGTGGGAGTGGCGCCACCTACATGTCTTTTGAGTCTTTTGAAAAGTCACTACTTTTTTGTGCGTACATGTATCACGTTTTATAGTACACTTTCGTGTAAAAAATATATTCCTGGTAGAGGTCGCTGCGAGCAACTGACTAAATGACTAAATTACTTTTCAAAAGACTAAAAGACATGTAGGTGGCGCCACCCCCACGAAAGAGACAAACTAACATAACATTTGATATTGTCATTAAAAAATGCCCCTAGATACTAAACTCTATTCGAATATCACAATCATTTTGAAATTTATTAACAAAAAACAAGAATAGGAATTCAACTTTGACACTCTGCTGTATCTCAGAACCTATAATAACTTTTACGAACTACGAACTTTTCTTCTTATTTTGACGTCAGCAACATGCTCCTGAATTTTCTACACCTACTTAAGACACACCCTGTATATATAATTTTATCAATGATCGCATTTTTTAAGCATCATTCTTGAAATTGTGCTTTAAGCGGTCAATCCCTCGATCCAAATCATTATGCATTACAAAGGTATACCTACAGAGTATGCCATGGATAATTGACAGCTTTTGAACGAAAGTCGATTTAACATTTTTGTCATAATGAATTAATTGATTTGAATATTGTGTAACTGCATTTGAAAATTATAAGATTAAATGTACGTTCGGAATATTAAGAAGTGTATGATATATCATTGAAATTCAAAAAGAATATTATTCTTATTGGTTCCATGATAATGATGAAGACACACTGATTACTTGGATTGCACAGATTTTATTGGTATATATGGACGCCAAAGGATGTATGCGGAAGACAATTTATTTTATTTCCCACGGCAGTTAATATATTTTCTTCCCGTGGGAGAAAATTGGCAACTTTGTTTCATCAAATGAGGAAGCAAACGCCTACTTTCTATTCAGTGAGTACATAAAAAAATTGAACTGAAAAATATAATTTTCCTTATAAATTATTCAGTAAAAATTCTGGGTTCTAGAATATTCTATTTGAGTAGTTCCAATGATTTCTAAAATATTATTTATTGATTGTGTTTCATGACATTCTAGATTAATAAATCTCAGAAGCTTTTTTATCTCTTGGGGCTCACGAAAGGGAGTCCCTATAATATTAGAATATTGACATGGAAAAATTCCATGAATATTCACATCATTCTGAGAACATTCTATTAATATTCCTCGGAGTATTTACGTCTCTACCAACCTATACCTAATTATTGCACTACTATATTTTGTTAAACTTTTATAAACATCAACCAAATCCCCAAGAAAAATAAATATGAATTCAATTTGAATTCTTCTCAGAACTCCAAATGCATTTCTTGGTGTAGTGTATCAGTGAAAAGATTAAAATAATTTTTTGTCATTTTTCAAGTGAGAATAATTCTGGCGCCGTTAGCATACACATATTATGAATGAATATGTGAATCATCTCATTCATAAAATATTTTTCCAATAATATAATTTAATAGTAAGTAAAGTATACAAGGTGATTCATTAAGAATGGGCAATCTCTGAACTATACATCAGATAGTTAACTTCAAAATATGACGATTTAGCTCAGAATGCATTATTAGACGTACCTATTCATCAGTTGTTTTCTATCACTTCCGGTGCGATTTTTAATGGGACACCCGGTATATTTTTAGTTATTTCGATAGAGAATTACATTGTCGGTACAATGATACCCCATTTGTCACTTTTTCAGATTAATGATCCTTAATTATTCAATTTTCATTCTAGAGTGATTATGATATACTGGATATAGATTCAAATTATCGATTATATGGTATCAATGTGTTCGTGACAAAATACCTCTATCAGATATGGTAATGAGTCACCCTTGTTTCATTTGAAAAAAATGAGTTAACATCATAATTACGATATTGTAAATTTTGAATGAACCTGTGAAACAAATCAAAAGTAAAACTTCATCAAAACTATTTTTTCTAGGCAGCATGATTCAAAATCAACTATTCTAACTCATTCATGGCACAATTGATTGAAAGTGTCAAATAGGCTGTCATATTGTACTCACAATGTTATTCTCTATCTAAATAAGTAAAAATATACTGGGTGTCCCATTTAAAATAAGAACGTATGGGGCAATGACAGAAAACAAATGAATACGTCAAATAATGCATATTTATGTGATATACTCACACACCGAATTACATTTGTTTATCTGTATAAACAAAAAAAATTTAGGGGTGAGCCACTTTTGAGAAACATCCGGTATAACAATTTCTATTAATAAAAGTCGATATATCGACATAATTATACTCGAAATTTCGAGAAAGGAGTGAAAAATTTCGAGATGAAATTCGTATTCTCTTTCGATTATAATTATTGCACAAACAAAAAATTCGTGGAACTTCTACGCTTCTCGCTTCTGTAGTGAATGAGTTTTATTTTCGTTCAGTTCAAGAATCCTGGCGCCGTCACCAAATACTCGAATGACAAAATAATTTTCCGAGAATCCGAGAACGCAATCATGATAGATGATAGTAAACAGTTGTGTAAAAATAAAATAAGTTATAATCAAGTACCAAGTAGGCGCTTTCGAATAATTGTGATCATGTGCTCAACATTTGTTGTATAGAGTGAGTCACTGGGTTTACAGGAAATTTCCAGGATGCCCACATTTCATTCATAAAACGCGATGCATCATCATGGTTGGGTCTTGGGTATATTTACTGGGTGCGGGTGGGGTTAGTTTTCATGAACCAAACTTCTCGAAGTTTCAGCGCAAGCATATATTTGACTAAGTAATCCTCAATCCATCCTTCTTATCTATACAGGGTGTAACATAACTAAGTACGTTAAAATTATCAAGTGACGTATTCCTGAGAGAATTTTAAGAACAAAAGTCTGTATAAACTTGTCATTTCGGAGATACAGGGTGTTGAAATACAGAAAACAAACCATTATTCGATCAACATTTCATAGGGAAAAAAATGGTTTATTTTGACGACACTTATCACATTCGTTGTTGAAGATGTGTTTCTTTTTTATTTGAAAAATATGTGGGAATGGGGTTTTTCTATGAAAACTACCAAAAGATCACTGTCAAAAATATTAGGGCAATTTGAAATTAATAATGACAGCGTACGCAGCGCCCTCTAGATTACATGAAGATGAATACGAAATTATATGATTTCTCACGTCGAAAAAAACCCAGGGTACCAAATTTCGTGCAAACAACTTATTTTTCGCAAAAGTTATTTTTAAAAAGCGAACAAAAAAATCAATTTCAACACTGTATCTCCGAAACGAAGCATTCCGGACACAAGTTTATACAGGGTGTCCCATAAGTCATGGATCAAAAGAAGAGGGGTGGTAGGTGGGGTCATTTGTGCGCCCGAGTTGCAAACAACATTTTTTCTACAAACGTCAAAAAATATAGATCTAAAGTAAAAATATGCTTAGCTTGATATGAAAAATAGGGTTGAACTGGCTTAAAAGGCCTTCCCCTATCCTGCCTAGGTACGCACGATGTTCCACGAACATAATAGGAATTTCCTTTCGTGCGCTCCAAGAGATAAAATAATTTTATTGTTGAACATTCAGAAATAAATGATTTCGTGGATGCTTGTTCGATTGAGGACCATAAAATTGAAATACAAATATCTCATATATTTTACATAACAATGCGCGAAGTAGGTACTTCGCGCAATGTTTTACTTCGCACATTGTTTTGTGCAAGGTATCATGGTAACGTAGCAAACTGAAAAAAAGTGTCACTTCGCAATTTGTTATCAATGCGCGAACCTTGTCATTTTTTGACGTTTGTAGAAGAAATGAAGATTCCGTAGTCGATCAAAAACAAACACTGTGATAAAAAAACAAAATCCTTGGAGATACATCAACAAAATGAAATGTAACGTTCATATAAGATAGTTATTCATTATACAAGGGAAAAAAGTAGTAGATTTTAGCACCATCTCCGTGAGCTAAAATCTAATATTTTCCCCGTGTTTAATATACTATTTTTTTCTGTGACAGAAGAAAGGACGAATCAACATCGAGAAGATATTACATTATCGACGTGAAATTTCAAGCTTTTAACAGTAGGGACACCTGCGTTGTAGGCATCTTCATCATTCTTTTGAAGTCTTGAAGTAATCAAATATCTGATGTCACTTCTGTCAGTCTAATTCTGTGATTTGATTTCAAAAACTTGCGAATTTAGTGGTTGTTTAGTAATATACGTAATTGCGGTATTATTGACGCATTTTTCAGAACTATAGCACAACAAAAGCCATCAACAGTGCATATATATGTGATATATATCCGGGAAAAAAGTACTCACTTTTTTTCCACGGGAAAAAAGTAATTTATGAAAAGTGACATTTTCTAACCTGCCAAGAGAGTTGAAAAGCCAAACTTTTTTCCCGTCACAGAAAAAAAAACTATTATTAATTAGGTAAAAGGTACGTGTTTCCATCTCGAATCGACTGTTCAATACCGAAACACGAGATCGGAGCGTACAAATCTCGGGATTGCCGGGATCGAAATATTGTTGGGAACCCGGGATTTACGTTCTCGGGATTTCGGGATTGCAAACTCTACTGCGCATATGTTATGAAACACCCTGTATATTATTGTCAAAGTATTTTCAGTCGGTCTATCGATACAAATCATGAGAATGAGGACAATTCATATATACACCGTGTTCGGTGGGTTTTACCGACAATAATTCTCACAGAACACGAACTGCATTCGAAATCCGTCGCGTTGATCGCATCAAATTAGAATATTCCCGGAATTTGATTCATGATTCAGTAGGCCATGATCGCCAAAGGTGGTGAATCAACGTCTCTTCGCAGTACTGCCGCCGGTCGCGATCAGGTCGCACACGAAAAAAACGACGTACCCTCGGTTTTTCGCCGGCTTTCCACTTCAGAGCTGCTCAAACATCTGCTGAGATCGCGCGAAGATCTAGCCAGCCTCGATGAAAAAACAGGCGAGGACGCAGCGAAAAATGGCGAGCATGAGTCATCTGAGAAGGCTACGGCTGTTACACATGAAGACTCCATGACTAAGTACGCTTTTTGCGCGAGTATCGCAGATGATAAAGGAAGTTGGGCCGGTAGTACAGGCATTTCCTGTACCACTTCAGCCGCGGTGAGTCCCTATTCCATCCTAGAAGATGGAAGCATGGACGATATCGATAACAGAGCCTACCTGTCAACAGACGAAGTACAATTATTATTACAACCACGAAGCGTCGAAGGGGAGTTTTCCGATGAGGACAATAGCATTTTGGATTTCATTTTGGCCGGCACGGAGAAAACTTTGTGCATACAATCGCCCAGCTGTAGTGAAAATGCCAGTGAATGTGAGGTTAGTCCGGACTTCAAGTTCGTCGATTCGTTGCCCTTTGGAGGTCCGGAAAAGGAAGTATCGGGATCGGAGGTTTTAGTGTTGCCGTCTGTGTCCGGCGTCGGTAGTTCCGATGGCGATAAGACTGACAACGACGCCAAGTCTTGTGTGGTTTCCGGTGAAGATACTGATAGTTCTAGTGAAGATGTCAAAGATACAATGGTATTAGTTCCTACTGGTAAGTCATATATATACCGAGTACCTATAACCCATCAAATCCAATGCACCTATTTAACACTCTCCCTGTATCTTTGGTATTATATACAGGGTGTTTCCGATTTGAATGTACATACGATACCTGTAGATAGGGGACACTGTGATGGTTCCAAATCACCCCCCTTTGATGTGTCTACCGTTTTTTGTAACTGAGATACAGGGCGATATCTTGATTTTGGCAAAATCATCATCTGGCACTTATATTACCCATCAAAACTAAATGAGAATCGGGATCAGAATCCAGGTCCGTCTTGTGGAAAAACAGAAAAGTTCTTTTATATAAAAAACAACACTCTGTATGGCACAATTTTTTAGATCTGTTTCAATATTTGAAGAGAGCAGGGAAAAACGAATGAAGTTACCTACTTTTTACGACCGCGCATCCGATTTGACAGATGTTTTATTATCATTTTCTGATATACTCGGCTCCATTTTGAGTCATTTTTATTGAACTCGTATAATTCAAAATCCAATTATTTAACAAAATAATAACGTCCTTCGAAGTTCAACATCATTGGGGTGAAATATAGATATATCTGTTCGTTCGACAGAATAACGTCTGTGGTTTTGTAAATTTTGAGCTGCGGTAAATCTATCAGTAGTTCACCTAATTTGCTTCTAATGACGTTCAACTTTGAAGACAATTATTTTTTTGTATCAAAATTGGATTTTTTGTGTTACAGTTCAATAAAAATGCCTCGAAATGGGGTGAATATTTCAAAACATAATAATAAACCATCTGTCAAATTGGATGCGCGCTCGTAATTAGTAGGTCTCTTCATTAATTTTTTCCTGCTCTTCCCAAATATCAAAACAGATCCACAAAATTTTGTCATACATCAAGGGCCATACAGAGTGTTGTTTTTGAAATAAACAAGTTGTCTATTTTTCCTTAAGACGGACCTGGATTCTGATCTCAATTTTCATTTAGTTTTGATGTGTGATATAAGTGAAATATTTCTACCAAGTATGAATAGACTATACAACGTGGTTCAAATATTATAACCAGATGAAGATTTTGCCAAAATCAAGATAACGTCCTGTATCTCAGTTATGAAAGACGGTAAACACATCAATGGGGGTGATTTGAAACCGTCAAAGTGACCTCTATTTGCCAGTATCGTATGTACATTCAAGTCTGAAACACCCTGTATAAATTTCAAATCTGGCATAGTCAATAAACGTGATCGGTGATGGTAACAGATTATAGCAAGGCAATATGATTGTTTTCAGTATCCGATATAGAAAAGCTGAAATTTTAATATGTTTCAATGTATCGCTATCACATAATATCAGACATTTCATTCGTAAATTATTGCCACTGCTTGAGTCTATATACAGAGAGTGTACAAAAAACGGCCCTTCCAGGCTCACCGAAAACGATCCCAACTTTCGATTTCTAAATGGGACATCCTGTATTGTATTCCATAATTGGTAAGGGATTATCATGACGAATTTAACGATACTGGGTTTGATAGGGTTATTTCAAATAATTTTCCATATACTCAATGGATGTGGCTTCTCATCTTAACTATGCAGATACCGTGTATTGGCCTTGCCCAGGGCCTACTCTAAGATACAGTAGGCCCTGCCTTGCCTGACTGACGAAAATCGCAGAAGATTACAAACTGTTCAGAACAGATGCGTCCGTTTCATATAATATATAACATTAGAAAAAGACATTCAGTGTCTGGTAAACTTTTGGAGTTGAAATGGCTAAATATTACAAATAGAAGGTTTCTACACTTGGCATGTTCATTTCACAAAATTATCAAAAACCGAGAACCAATATACCTAGCACGCAGGATATCTTTCAGGACAGATATACACAATGTCAATGTAAGAAGGAAGAATATCCTCACAATTCCACATCACTCCAGCTCCATGTTCCAACGATCTTATTCTTACACGATTTGCAAATTGATTAATGGCTCACCCTCTGATCTTATGGAATTGAATTCCAAGAATTTCAAGGAGAATTTGAAAAATTTACTGTTACTCAATAATAATATCATACCGAATTTCAATGTCTAAACTTGGTACCTTTCGATTTCTCTCTCAGAAGTCAGAATTATATTTATGTTTCACTTATATTTCAATATCTGAGTATATTTGGTTGCAATCATGACTGATTAGGTACTTACTGCTCGTTTGCTTCGAAATTAAAATATTTTTCTATGTCATATCCATCATGTTTGTATTAGTTTATAGTTAACAGTTCTTGGTGCCAACAGAACATATTAGTATTATTAGAATATATTTATTAGGTAATAATCTCATTTACGTTCTAACTGTGCACCTCTTCGAGGGTTATAGGGAAGATTGGGATCAATGTATGTACATTTATGTACATTGAAACTAACTATAGCCCTTTTCAGTCTCAGTAATTAATATATTCATTATGTTATGTTAAAAATGAAATGCATATTACTGTAGTTTATTGTTGTATATTATTGCTGAATCACTGAATAAATCACTAAATAAATAATAAATAAATAAATATAAAAATTTCTGTCTCTCTGTCACACTCATTGAGCATATGGAAACTTAGAACGCGAATATCTGCGTAATCGTTTGACATAACCCTATCCAACCCATCGATGAATTTTTTATGACAATCCCTATATAACCGATTATGGAATAGGATACAGGGTGTCCCATTTGAAAATCAAAAGTTGGGGTCGTTTTCAGTAAAACCAGAAGTGATAGAACAAAAATGGTTTCGTCTACTAATGAGCAATTTGGTATACTGGCTGCCCGCCAATTTCCAAAACCCTATCTCGTGTAATTCAAAAGTTACAGTCCACTTCTCTGTATAACATGAGAAAACGAACCAAAAATGCAGGCTATTTTCAAGAAAATTACATCACATAAATGTATGCCTAGAAGCGCTTCTTTTCTGAGATACGGAGTGTTGAAGTTCCTCAAACAATATACTTATATAGTTTTTTCATCAACATTCAAAGACACTTCGGGAGATTTCGATTATATTTTCACAACTTGCTGATTATTTGACAATATATACCTTTTGGGCGTATCACATCCTCAAATAACATCGCCAAGTGAACTCGAAGTATCACATATATTATTTGTCAGGAAGATAGGTATTCTTCTTTAAAAATTGCTGAACATTTTCAATAAAAAGGCACCAACACGAAATGAAAACATCAGTAGGTATTTTTTAAATTTTGTCAAATTTGTGAAAAATTTGTATACATATATCGCTACTTTGAAGTTGGGCACCAACTCCCCAGAAGTCGAAACTTGTGCTAGGTTATAGAAAGAGCTTTGATTGCCAAACAATTTTTGATGCTCTCAAATTATGATATGGCTTGATTAGTACTTTGCCTTATTGTCCCCCTTGCCTTCTTCATTGTAAATTTCTGAATCCTTTTTTGTACTGGTCATTTCTTTTTGTAATCTCATTGGCATATGGGTCATTAGGTACTGTCCTGTACTAATTAATAATTATAATTTTTTGTGTTCATATCTTCAATATCTCCAATAGTTCAATTCCACATGAGGACCTAACCTTATTTTTATTGTCTCAGTTTGTATTTTTTTTGTAGAATTTTCTCTGAGCTACCTTCGATCCTATACTGTTGATGATGTACTGTATAGAGTCCGAAACATGTTCGGATATTCAGATTATTAAGAATTGTGGAGATGACTTCAATGTGTCCTTGTTCCTGAATATTAGGTATACAGCTGCTCCAGTTATTATTATAGTTTTTTGCTAAAAAAAATGTCATCCACCCAGGTTTCTCGCAATTTTCGAATTCTTTCAGAAGAAGCCACTAAATATACATCAGCCTCCTATATGTATAGGCTCTTGATATGTTTCGAATCTTCTCAAAATATTCCAAATATTATTGCTTTTCGCTATGTTGAGGGTTGTGAAAAGTTTCAGCGTTGTAATTTCAATCAATATGGTTTCTGGTTCATCTTTAGACTTCAGACCGTTTCACATATATATCCAGGGTGTTTCATAATTGAATGCTGATCCTAAAGGGCGATGATCCTTGGATGATTTTAAGGAGAGAAGTTCATATCAACATATGTCCTGAACCTCTTAGTTTTTGAGCTACAGTGTGTTGAAATCAGAAGCGTACAGCGTTTTTTTTTTTAATTAAACATTCAATATCAGGTCTACGAGGACATCACTGGTAAAAGTAAAAGTTTGATTTTCGTCCCAAAACAAAATGTGTTTCCACTTATAGTGGGTGTCTACTGAATTACCAAAAACAATATCCAAGAACTGAAAGAACAAAATTCTTTGGTTTTTATTTTTTTACGCGAAAACGGTACGTCGCGGTACGTTGTATGAAAGTAAGTCTGGGAACCAAATTCGCTCCAAAATGAATAAGAATTGAGAAAAAAATCTGGCATTCAGAAAAATCAGTGGCGTACTATTTTTTTCTTCAAAAATTGTCAGCCACTGGTGAGAATTTTTAAATATCTTTCACGTAAAAAAATGCTCCTTAATAATGAAAAGGTGTATACGAAATATCTTAACAATATCTAAGAGTGATAAAAAATTATGATGAAAAACTCATTTTTTTCTTGAAATTTCATCACCCTGTAGCTCAATAACTAAGAGGTTTAGGACATATATTGATATGAACTTTCCTCTTTGAAATCATCCAAGGATTATCGCCCTTAAGGATCAGCATTCAATTATGAAACACCCAGTATAGTCAGTGTTTCAACCGACGTAGCTTAGCATGTCTGCAATATAATTTGATAGCTATCTTGTCAACCTCCAGTCCTCCGCCAATTCTTAGAAAATACGTTTTGTACTTACTGTGCTTTAGAGAGTCGAAGTCGAGGTAGAAGTCCATAATAAAAGATAGATCTTCATCAAACAACGCAGAGGTAGGCCATGAATTAGATATAAGTTCATTCATGAATAGTAGAAGGGACCGCATTCCTTGTCTTCGCGCATTCTCACCGAGTTAGTCA